AGCCCCTTCGTGGCCTCACGAGATCAGATCTCTGCCAGAGACTTGCTAAAAACATGCAGACCCTGGGTCCCACCCCAGACCCACCAAATCAGAAAGACTCACTTCCTGAGCTGCAGAATACCAGAATCTTCTTCCTGGGTTCCCTTGGCCTACCGAATGCGGAATAAACACAAGTCTAGGGTCTGTTCTGGGCTGGCATTTATGGGGCCTGTTTTCTTGATCAGGTACCTTGCTCTGTGAACCGAGTGGACCTGGGTTTGCTTGGGGGTGGGGAGAAGGCGGAGAGGACGGAGGGGACCAAGCAGCAGAGGAACCAAACCATGCTCAATCCTGCTCCTTTAGGAACTATCCTAGGGCCTCCAGCGGGCAGGGATGACCTGCCTCACTGGAGAGGTGTGGGCTCAGGGAGATGTCTTCTAGAATAACCACTGCTGTGGCCCGGGCCTTCTCAGGATGGAGGTCAAGGTCCTGACCGCTCCCTTTAGTTTGGAGGCTGTGGGAGGGTTTGAATTTGCTTTTTGTTGTTGTTGTTGTTGTTGAATATCAGTGGTATGGCAGCTATGATTTATTTTGACATTGTATTTATTTGAAAGGTAGACAGAAAGATATTTCATTCACTGGGTAGTTTCATTTCCCACATGCTCACAATAGGCCAGAGCTGAGCCAGAACAAAACACAGGAGCCCAGAATTTAACCCAGGTCTCCCACATAGGTGATGAGGGCCGAGGGATTTGAGCCATCACCTGCTGCTGCCCAGAGAAGAAAAGCAGAGTCAGGAGTGGAATCCAGGCACATACATGGGACACACATGTCCCATATCATGGCTTAACCCCTGTGGCAAACATATGCCCCTAAAGGTATAGTTTTGTGGCTCTCCCCCCCCCCGCCCACATTTATTTAACATTTATTTGAAAGGCTAAGCAACAGAGAACATTGTCTATCTGCTGCTTCACTCCCCAAACACCCACAGGGCCAGGCTGAAGCCATGAGCCTGGAACCCAGTCCACATCTCCCACATGGGGGCAGGGGCCCAAGAACTTGAGCCATCTTCTGCTGCTTCCCAGGAGCATTAGTAGGGAGCTGGATTGGGCTTTGGGGGGCAGAGGTATCTGGACTTGAACCAGCACTCGAATATGGGCTGCAGGCACTCCAAGCGGCAGGTTAACCCACTGCACTATCTTCCCTGCAGCTGTGGCCCCTTTTGGGCTGCTTGCCACGTGCCACTCTTCGATTGACCTGTCGTCTCTCTCACACTTCAAACAATCCCTTTGCAGTCCAGGAATCTGAGGCTTGGAGAGTAAAGCTCACACACCGGATGGAATGAGAGTCCAACAGGGCAGGTAAGAGGGCGGGTGTGGCTGAACAGTGGAGTCTTGCCCTGTGTCTGGGGCAGACACTTGGGATCTTGAGGTGGAAGGAAAGGCCCACGCTGGCAAGGGTGCTCAGTGATAATAACTCTCCTGGCCTGCCTGCTGAGGTGGTATGCTTGCGCCTTGGGGCTCCACACCCCCTGGGCATTCCTGGGTTTCTTTTTTAGGTGATCAAATGCTCCCACTTAAGGAGTCCCAGCTCTGCCAAAGTCTGGCTGTGGGACCTCAGACATCTTCTTACTCTCTCTGGTCTCTGTCTTGTCTTTCTCAAAGGAGCCATGTTTGAAGCCTCCCAACCCAACTTCCTGTGGTACCTCCATAGCACCATTAAACTCAGACATTAGGGCCTGGCCTAGTGGCTTAAGTCCTCACTTCGCATGCGCTGGGATCCCATACGGGCATTGGTTCTAATCCTGTCTGCTCTCCTTCCCATCTAGCTCCCTGATTGTGGCCTGGGGAAGCAATCGCGGACCCTGCACCAGTGTGGGAGATCCAGAAGAAGCTCCTGGCTTCGGATTGGCTCAGCTCCAGCTGTTGTGGCCACTTGGGGGTGTACCAGCAGACAGATATTTTTCCCTCTGTCTCCTTCTCTCTGTAAATCTGCCTTTCCAATAAAAACAAACAAACAAACAAATAAATCTTAAAAAAAAAAAACCTCAGACATCAGAGCTGCTTTAATTAACTTCAATCTCTTCCCCAAGCAGGTGATTCCCCTGACTCACAGGTGTCCTTTGCACATCTCACTTGCACCAAACAAGGAGGAAGAAGAGAGCCGAGGCCCCTCCATTCCTGAGCAGGTGACCTGTCCCACCCCTCCAACAGCCCTGGGTAGATTGCCTGCAGAGTGTCCAGGCATGTCTTTCTCCTCTTTCTAGTCTGCATTCATTCATTTCTTCCCTTAAAACTGATAGCCTTGGGGCCAGCACCATGATAGAGCAGGCTGTGGCATGCACTAACATTCCATATGAGTGCAGGTTTGAGTTCTAGCTGTGCCATTTCTGATCCAGCTCCTGCAAATGATCTGGGAGAGTAGCAGCTGATGGCCATGGCCTTGAGCCCCTGTACGCATGCCACAGACCTTGGAAGAAGCTCCTGGCTCCCAGCTTTGGGTCTTCAACTTTGGGGTCAAGCTCAACTTTGGCCAACTTGGGGAGTGAAACAGTAGATGGAAGATCTCTCTCTCCCTTTTTCTCTTTCTCTGTACTTCTTTCAAGTAAAATAAATAAAATTTTAAAAAGCAAAACAAAATATAAAATTGACAGTCTTCTCTGTGCCAGGCCCTGGGATAAAGTCCTGATGTGGATGGACACAGCCTTGACTGTGAGGTCAATCGGCCACCAGGTGTCACTAGTGCCAGTCCCAGGGCCTCATGGAGGCCTGAGAAAAGAAGCCGGGATGCGGAAGTGTGGGTGGGAGAACTCCCTTCTCAGCCAGCTTAAATCAGTAGCAGGTTCCTCAAAAAGAAAAAGAAAGGCCACTTCCTTGCCACTCTCCCACAGTGAAGACGGCCTTGTGACTTCCTCCACAGCCTCACTGGCCCAGACCTTGGGAATTCCCACCTCCTGAGCAAGTAGAAATTCCGTCATCCTGTATGCTCTCTCATGGAACCCACCAGGCACCTATAAACCCTGTGGGTGACTTAGCTTGGCCCCTCACAAGGCAGTCTGTGTTACTAGAAGGTTCTTCCTGATTTAGTGTTAGCATCTGACACTCATTTTGAGTTGTCCTACTTCTGCCTTCTGTGGTCATAAGGAGGAAGGTTCACAGTCTTTCCAAGATACTATTTATTTGTGCTAAGATTTATTTGAAAGAGAGGGATATTCTCCAATTGGTGGTTTATGCTGCAAATGGCTGCAACAGCCAGGGCTGGGCCAAGCTCAAGCTAGGAGCCAGGAGTTTTTTCCTAGCCTCCCACGTGAATGCAACAGCCCTAGGACTTGGCCCATCCTCCTCTGCTTTCCCAGGAAGTAGTAGGAAGATGGAATCTGGAGTGGAGCTGGGACTCTTAACCCAATAATGCAGAATGGGTTGCAGGTATTCCAAGAAGCATCTCAATAGGCCTTGGCCTTGTTTTTTTTTTTTTTTTAAATGCAGAGGGTCCAGTACGGTAGCCTAGTGGCTAAAGTCCTTGCCTTGCACAAGCTGGGATCCTATATGGGCACTAGTTCTAATTCTGGCAGCCCTACTTTCCATCCAGCTCCCTGCCTGTGGCCTGGGAAAGCAGTCGAAGATGGCCCAAAGTCTTGGGACCCTGCACCTGTGTGGGAGACCCAGAAGAGCTCCAGGCTCCTGGCTTCGGCTTGGCTCAGCTCCAGAAGTTGCAGTCACTTGGGGAGTGAATCATCGGATGGAAGATCTTCTCTGTCTTTCCTCCTCTCTGTATATCTACTTTGCAATGAAAATAAATACATCTTAAAAAAAAGAGTCTTGTTTAAAACAAAGAAAATGGTTTCTAAGAACCAGAAGGATTCTGGGAAGCCTTTCCTCATTGCTCCTGAAAATGAATTTGTGTCTCTTCCAAGGTTGGGTTGTAGTGTGGGGTGGGGTCCAGGTGAGAGCCCTCTGACTGACTAGGAATAAATTAGTGCTGCTCTGTTGGTGCCATCCAGACTCCATCCCCAGGTCCACCACTAGCCTTGCAAACAGCTTATCAATTGGTGCAATGGAAGCCAAACTTACTCCCCAGCCTGCAGTACAACTGAAAGCATGAAACATGTCTTGGTACTGTTTGCAAGGCTAGTACGCCCTCTTATAAAATGAAGGTGGAGGCAGAGGAACTGTGCGCAGCAGCTACCACCAGGCTTCAAGTCCCCAGCTGATCACTTACTTGGCTCAGATTTTGACTTCACTGAACCTCAGATTACGCATCTGTAAAACAGTGAAACAGTGGTCGGGGTGGGGAGTGGTCAGTGTTGCGGTCACAGCTGATGAAGTTACTGCGCCTTGTGATGCTGGCATCCCATAGTGGAGTGATGGTTCAAGTCCTGGTTGCTGATGCAGCTGCTTGCTGATGCAGTTGGGAAAGCAGCAGCAGATGACCCAAATATCTGCTCCTGTCACCCACGTGGGACACACAGATGGAACTGCAAACTCCTGGCTGTGTCCTGGAACAGCTCAGGATTGTTGCAGCCATTTGGAATGTGAACTAGTAGACGGAAGCGCTTTATATCTCTGTCTTTCCCTTGTTCTCTCATCACTCTGCCTTTCCAAAAAAAACCCCAAAACAAAAAAAATCTTCAAGATCAAAACAGTGACAGGATTATACCTGCCTGGCAGGGAGGCTGGAGGACTTGTGAACCCAGAAGAGCAGCAATTGGCTCAAGGTAAACACTGTTTTAACTATGGTGCACACAGATGCCTTTTTAGCTGGAACCACTGAGCTCCTTCCAAGAAGCTGTGGGTGTGTCCACATCCGCCATCCACCCCCCTCCCCCCGGGGAAACAAGGGGTGCCAACTTTGCTTGTTTGTAGGCCTTCTGCTCTCACCCAGCCCTTAACTAAAAAGCTGCTGTTACAGGAAATAGCTTTGCTCATTTCTCCGCCTTCCTCTTGATGTCACAGCGCTCAGGAAAAAAAAAAAAAAGACCCGTAGGTGGAAATCATAATTAAAAAGAATCACACAGGGAAGCTTCATGCATGCGGGAGGAGTGTGTGCACTGCCCTGGGCCTGGGGGTGCAGTTGTGTTGTGGGTAGACTGTGTTTGATTCTGTGGCTGCCAGCAAGTGTCAGGGAGTTTCTGAGCAAACTAAGTTTGGGGGTAGCAGGGGTGATGAAGTGGGGCTTTCTCAAGCTTGAGTCTCCCCCACCTCAACTTGAGACAGCAGCCTGGCTCCTTTAGGCTTGGAAGAGAAGACACTTCCTCTTTTCCGAAAGGCAGGAAATAGTGCCTCTAAGGGTGCTGTGGGCAAGATGCCAGGGCTGCAATGGGGGTGGAGAAAGCATAAATGGATTTTGCTGTTTCATTTTCAGGTTTTACTCGGAGAAGCTGCCCTGGTTGCTGGTAGCCACTGGAGTGAGCCTCCTCTCTCTGTCTTCTTTTAAGAGTCATCTGTGTCCAGGAAGCAGAAGGTAGGATTCGGAGCAGCCCAGCTGGTGCTCCAAGGCTGGGGAGCTGAGACCCAGAGGCTGCTTTTACTCCTTGAGCTCCGACATTGCACTCTGCTAAGTCCCTTATCAGGTGGATTCTGGGGGCATAAAGGGTCCTTGAGCAGATCGGTCTGCATAGGACTCTTCTTTCTTCATCATACCTGTGGTCTTGCTGGGGCTTAGCTGGCTATGCAGGTGCTGGCCCTGCTCTGTTTGCAACAAGCTTTTCCTGAAAAGAGGTGAGGGATGCTGTATGCACAGTCCAATCCCCCAGAGATGTCTCCCAGTAGCCTGTGGGAGCAGAATGACTGGGTGCTGGGGAAGGGAAGGGTTTGGGAAAGCAGCTGGGTCCCAGAGAACCAGAGAGTGAGGGAATCATTGTCATCGATTTCTAGCTTTCTTGGTGCCAACAGATGTCCCAGTCAAGCCTGCATCCATCTATCCCACGTCCCAGGGGTCATGGGGCTCAGAAAGCAGCCTTGGTCCTGCTGGTTGTCTGCCTGATGGCCCTTTGGGGGCTGGGGGAGCCCCCAGAGCATACTCTGTGGCACCTGGTGCTCTACCTGGCCTCCCTGCAGCTGAGCCTACTGTTGAAAGCAACCTGCAGTCTGGTGGAGGAGCTGTGCCACATTCACTCCAGGTGAGTCCCAGTAATGCCCATGGGGATAGGGTACCCAGCATGTGTCACTTTGGGATCTGTTAGCCATGTTCCTCCCCAAACCTCTCTGGCTGAGCTGGACTGGAATCTGGGGCTCGGCTATCCCTTGCAGGTACCAGAGCAGCTACTGGAAGGCTATACGGTCCTGTCTGGGCTGCCCCATCCGCCAGGGGGCCCTGCTGCTGCTGTCCTGCTATTTCTACTACTCCCTCCGGAATCTGGTGGGCTTGCCCTTCTCATGGATGCTTGCCCTCTTGGGTCTCTCCCAGGCATTGAACATCCTCCTGGGCCTCCAGGTAGGACACAGAAGGGAGATGGAGGGTCTGGCTGTGCTGGCAGCTGGTCCTTTCCCTGAGCTCAGGCCTGGAAGCGGCACCAATTTAAAGGTCATGGGTCTTGGGGTACAGCCTCTGAAGCTCTGGGCAGTGGGTTCAGCAATGGCAGAGATGGGAACGAGACAGCAGCAGGCTAGGAAACCTTCTGGGAGGAGGAGGGCTCTGAGTGTCCTTGGCGGAGGCTCCCTAACCCCATCCTGCTGTCCACAGGGCCTGACCCCAGCTGAGGTCTCTACCATCTGTGAAAAAAAGAACTTGAATGTGGCCCATGGGTTGGCATGGTCGTATTATATTGGGTACCTTCGGCTAATCCTGCCAGGTGAGCCTTCCTCCTTGCCCCCATTTCCAGACCCACAAGACAGGCTCATAGCCTCCTGTGTTTTCAGAATTCTCTGTACTGCTCAAGGTGTCTTCCTATTTGCTGAGCCATGTGGTCCCCGGAGCATCCCAGTGGGTAGGGGGATGTTGTTGCTATGCCTGGATATGGTGAGGGAGCGGCAGCCTGGAGCCTTCAGGGGACTTGTGCAGAGTGAATTCTAATTCATACCACAGACTAGAAGCCCTTCCCATGCATTTCCTCTTATTTACTTGTTAATTCATTTTCCGTTTGATCACTCCCCAAATTATTCATTTTCTTCTCCCTCAAGCCCTGTGAAGGGATGGTCATCATGGTTCTGACAGACCATGGAATTTGGCCATCATCACGTGCTTTAGAGAGAGGAGACAAGATTTGACACTCTGTTTGGTCACTGCTTGTCTGTGGGACTCATTCGTCTTATGCCTCTGGACTTGCAGGCCACGGCTGTGGTTTTCCCACATCCAAATGCTCTATCCCCAGGATGCCAGAACTTGCACTAAGTTCTGCCCTGTGCCTCTCTGCACCAGGGAATGCTGGGAATAATACTTGTATCTCAGAACTCTGAAAACTGTCAGTGGGAAGGCCTGGGGCTGAACCAGAATCCAGGGGAAAGGAGAAGTGATGGGAGAAGGAGGGAAGTAAGAGAATGGCGGGGAGGGCTCCTGGATGCTCTGCCCATTCTGGCCTCTTGCATAATGACAGTGGACTGCAGCCACATAGGGAAGGTGCCAAGGACCTGGGCCTTGGGGTTGTGGACAGGGTGGGTGAAAATGACTCTTTGGGCTTTTCTACCCCAGGGCTCCAGGCCCGGATCCAAGCTTACAATCAGCTTCACAACAACACACTGTCCGGCATGGGGAGCCGACGGCTGTATATCCTCTTCCCACTGGACTGCGGGGTACCTGATGACCTGAACATGGCTGATTCCAACATTCGCTTCCTGCATATGCTGCCACAGCAGAACACAGATCGGGCTGGAATCAAGGGTCGGGTTTACAGCAACAGTGTCTATGAGATTCTGGAGAATGGGCATCGGGTGAGCACCCAGGGGTCAGGGTCAGTCTCCTCAGGCCCTGGCCAAGCACTAGGGAAAACTCACTACCTTCCTCTGAGCCTCAGTCTCCCGAGTTGACCCCAGTAATATTTACTGAGCATATACTCTGTGTGGGTCATCCAACTGCCTTCCAGAAATTGCACCAGCGGAGGAGATAACCAAGTTCAGAGACCCAGTGGGAAAGTGGACAAGTCCACCTGGGGTATATCTTGCTCTCCACGTAAAGCTACCCTGGGGGAAGGCTGGGAGGAGATCTGAAGGACAACCCAGCTCAGAGAGGAAGCCTAGAGCCCAGCCACCCCGCAACCCCATCCCTGTACCCCTGCTCCTGGTTCCCTTTTCAGCTAGAGCAGGCGACAGTCTAGCTGAGAGGACCTTGCTCTGGGCTTTAGAAGTTAGGAGGAGGAATTGGGAAGATGAGATTAGCTCAGGCCAGGCCCATTTCAGAAGTCAAGGGTCACAGGCCAAAACAGATCAGACAGTGTGGACCCCCTTCAGGGGGACCACCAGCAGGGCTCTACTCACCAGATGCAGGGAGTGGGAGGGGGTCTCAGCCAGCCAATTGTCCTCTTACCTTCTGTAGGCTGGTGCCTGTGTCCTGGAATACGCCACCCCTCTGCAGACCCTGTTTGCCATGTCACAGGATGGCCGGGCTGGCTTTAGCCGTGAAGATCGGCTGGAGCAGGCCAAACTCTTCTGCAGGACACTCGAGGATATCTTGGCGGACGCCCCAGAGTCTCAGAACATCTGTCGCCTCATCGTCTACAAGGGTGAGGACTCGCCAGGCTGGATGAAAGGATGAAGGAGTTGGGGTGTCAGAGGCTTCCACCAGATGGTTGGGAGGAGTCATGGCACTATGTGTCTAAGGCATTTCCTGTCCCTTCCTCTCCAGGAGAATTCTCCCTATTCACAGTGGTATAATAGATTGCTTCCTGAGGTTTTCAGCTCCAGGCTCCAGGCAGGGGAGGGCTGAAGGGGACCCCTCATTTTCTCCAGAGATGCCAGAGGCAGCATGTGTGACATACAAGGCAGTGGGGCCACGCCCTTGGTGTGTGAGATCTCTGCCTCTTTCTGAACATCTTCTACAAGAGCGTGGAATTCCATTTTTACTAAGATTCTCTAGGCTTCCATGGAACTCTAGCCCCAGTGGCAGGTGGGAAGAGGGGTCAGAAAGATTGAAGATCTTCCCAGCAACCTCTCTGGGTGTGTTCCAATGGGGGATGTGTTAGATCCTCACCCTAGCCCTCCTGCCTCACCCTTCTATTCCAGAACCTGTTGAGGGAAGCAGCTTCTCGCTATCGCAGGAAGTTCTCCGGCACCTTCGGCAGGAGGACAGGGAGGAGTTCGCGGTGGGCAGCTCCAGGTCCACATCGGGGCCCAGCTACTCCTGCACGCTGTCACAGGAGCCTGAGCTTCTCATCAGTGGCATGGAGCAGCCTCTCCCACTGCGCACTGATATCTTCTGAGCCCAGGTGCGCCTTGTCCGAGCCTCTGGTGATCCTGAGACTGGTGGGGGCTTGTTTGAGTGACTGGACATCCAGACAGAGACAAGTCCTTCCTGATGGGGGACCTGGAGGAGAAGGGCCCTGGACTGGATGTCTCCACACGAGTCCTGTCTGTATCCTTGGGCAAGCCGCCTCAGCTCCTGGTCCATGGCAGGGGATGATCAGCATTGCTTCCCTCAATCCCTCTCAGCATCGTGTGAGGAACAAGAGTGGGTGGAAGGCATACTTTAGGGAGTTGCCCTGGGACTTCCACCCCACCAGACCCTGCAGCCCTACACTCCTCCCTTCTCAGCCTCCCCTACCTCAGGGTTGCTGGATGGCATTGGCAGGCTCCTTTGCCCTCTGGCTTTTGGTCCTGTTTGGTCAATGGGGAACCCTGGCAGGAGAAGGCAGGGGAAGTAGAAGGTCAGGTCAGAAGTTTCTTAGCCCAGCTTGTTTTCTGCAGTATCGAAGTCACATGGGCTCTCCTAATGGATGACCCTCTAGACGAACCGGTCCATTTATAGGTTTATAGAATTTGTTTTCCTCCTTGCCTCTAGCAGTGGTGCTGGTTCCCCTCCTGGAGTATTCACACTCACTTGTGGTTCGCTCCTGTCCTGAGCTTTCCCAATACTCTCTTTTAAGAATGCATTGCGGGGCCTGGCGGCGTGGCCTGGCGGCTAAAGTCCTCGCCTTGAATGCGCCAGGATCCCATATGGGCACTGGTTCTAATCCTGGTAGCCCTGCTTCCCATCCAGCTCCCTGCCTGTGGCCTGGGAAAGCAGTCGAGGATGGCCCAAAGCTTTGGGACCCTGCACCCGTGTGGGAGACCTGGAGGATGTTTCTGGATCCTGGCTTCGGATTGGCGCAGTGCCGGACGTTGTGCTCACTTGGGGAGTGAATCATCGGATCGGAAGAATTTTCTCTCTCTCTCTCCTCCTCTCTGTATATCTGACTTTGTAATAAAAATAAATTAATCTTTAAAAAAAATAAAAAAAAAATTTAAAAAGAATGCATTGTGGCTCTGTACTTGCAAGTACACACAAGAATCTAGTCTGGGATTATCTCAGACAAAGTTTCTTTGGGGATCTCCCCAATTGAACTGCCAGACTCAGAACCCTAACCATGAAAAGACAGAGGACAGAACAAATCAAATCAACTACCCCAGCCGTATGTTGGCAGTGAAAACTGGGCAAATAGAGACTCTAAGATGGACTGTGTCAATCAGTGGATTCTTCAGCGACCTCATTGTGCTTGGAGTGGCGAGACTGGCAGCAATTCGTAACTGTTGAACTATCAAAAACCACTTGAACAAGACCCTTGGAGAATGTCCTACATCAGGGACCTGGGATGGGTGGGAGACTGGGTGGGGCTTCTCCTTTTACCTTCCCCTTTACCCCAGATACAGGGAAAAAAAAATGTTGAAATAATAGTCTTACTCACTTTCCTGTAGCCATTGAACCGTTGTGCCCTAATTAACTCTATAAGATTGTCAAAAATAAAGAAAACAATTTTGTAAAAAAAAAAAAAAAAACAATAACATTACCTTAGACTTGTAAAGAACAGAACAGAAATGTATTTTCTGTGGTTCTAGCAACTCCAAGATTAAAGGTTTGGCAGATGCAATGTATGTGGAGGGCTTGCTTTCTTCACAAATAGATATGTTTTAGGGGGTATCTTTTAAAGAAAAATTAAAGGTTGGATATTGCCTAACAATAAAAAAAAAACACATTGTAGATTACTCAACTTGAATGTTTCCTATATTTTTTTCCTTTGGGACGGACCCTACTGATGACAAGAGTTTAGACTTTATTAGCCCTAATGTCCAAATTGGCTTGTGTCTGAATCCTTTGTGCAACCCTCCTCATCCTTGTACAGGGCAGTGGGGTAATGCTGTCATCTTACCATGTGCAGGGCTCACCAGTTGGTCTCAAGGCCTATGGGGGATGTGTTCTCACCTGCCCTTGTTCAATTTTTTAAGGATCTTTTTTCTGTCTTCCCTTCTTCCTCTCTCTCTTTTGTTGTTGTTGTTGTTACTTGAAAGCCAGATTTACAGATAGAGGGAAAGACAGAGAGGGGAGGGTCTTCCATCTACTGGTTCACTCCCCAAATGGTAGCAAAGACCTTAGCTAAGCTGATCTGAAGCCAGGAGCCAGGAATCTCTAGGTCTCCTTCTCTAGGGTCAGAAGGACTTGGGCAATCTTACAGTTTTCCTAGACCATAAGCAGGGAATTGAATGGGAAGTGGAGCAGCTGGGACACGAACTGGCATCCAAAACTGATTCTGGCACTTGAAGATGGAGGATTAGACTTTTGAGTCATAGTGTTGCCCCCCACCTTTTGAATTGTTTAAAATACTTTGATTTGAAAGGTAGAAAGAGCGAGAACAAAGGTGAAAGGTCCCATCTGTTGGTTTACTGTACAGATGCCTCAGGGCCACACTGAAGCCCTGAGCCAGGAACTCAATTTAGTTCTCACACTTGGGTGGCAGGGGCCCAACTACCCTCCCAGGGTGCACATTAGCAGGAATCTGCAGTTGGAGGCATGGCCAGGACTCAGGATCAGGTACCTGGATAAGAAGTAGGGATGTGCCAAATGGCATCCTTTTTAAAAAAGATTTTTTTTTTTTTTATTGGAAAGGTATATTTACAGACAGGAGGAGATACAGAAAGATTCTTCTTCTACTGGTTCATTTCTTAAGTGGCTGTAGTGTCCAGAACTGAGGCTATCCGAAGCCATGAGCCAAGAACTTCTTTCAGGTCTCCCACATGGATGCAGGATGTCAAGACTTTGAGCCATTCTCTACTGCTTTCCCAGGCCACAAGCAGGGAGCTGGATGGGATGGGAAGTGGAGCAGCCAGGATACAATGGTGCTCACATGGGATCCCAGCACGTTCAAGATGAGGATTTAACCACTGAGCCTCGCTCTGGGCCCCATCAAATGGCATCTTAAGTGCTGGACTAAATACCTGCCCTACCTCTCATTTCCAGGGGGAGACTTGAGACTAACGACCAGGCTGGCCATGAGTGACACACAGCTACATCCTGGGAAGGGGCCACTCAAAGGGCAAGGGTCACTGAATAAATGTCTCCATATTGCAGATCTTGCAAAGCAGTAGGGGGGAAGTCTGTGTGAGGAGAGGGGACATTCTCTGGGGGTAACACCAATAATTCTGCCATGCTTCATGGCATCATTCTCAGGCAGAAGCACTGTGGCAACACTGACCACAGTGACACAACTGCCCATTATGGCGACAAGTCCCTCCTGTTTGCCCCAGGGCTGGACTTGATCACTCTCTCCAACCTTTTTTCATTACACATGTTCAGTATACCTTTCTTTCTTTCTTCTTCTTCTTCTTTTTTTTTTTAAGATTTATTTATTGTTATTTGAAAGGCTGCATTATGGAAAGAGAAGGTGAGACAACAGAGATACTCCATCTGCTGGTTCATTCGACAGCCAACATGGGCTGGTATGAAGCCAGGAGCCAAGAGGTTCTTCTGGGTCACTCATGTGAGTACAGGTCCTAGTAATAGTGCCTAATCCTAGTGCTCTGGGCCATCCTGCAGTGCTTTCCTAGGCCATAAGCTGGATGGGAAGTAGAGCATATATGATATGAATTGGTACCCATATGGGATGCTGGCATTTGTAGGCAGAGGATGAGCCAGTTGAGCCATCATGCCGGGTCCTCAATGTACCAAAGTCCAGAGTCTTTTTGGAGAAATGCATAATATCAGACACACATCTTCCAGAATAACCTGGCTCCCCTAAGGGTGACAGAGCCAAGAGAGCCAAGGGACAATCGTGCTTCTCTCCAGCCATCCATGCTTTGTCCCTAAGGCCTGAGGATGCTCTGACATCATACACAGCTCTTTGACACACCAGAAACCAGCCTAGAAGCAAGGACCTTGCCAATATAATCTTCTGCTACCCCTCCAGCCCCAGCATGAGTCCAGGCTGTGGCATCTGAGAGCCCCACATTCAATCCTGACTCTATGACTTTGTACCTGGTATCTTGGTAAGGCACAATGGCAGGAGCTGAGCTGATCCACAGCCAGGAGCCACATGGGTCTCCCAGGTGAGTGTAGGGTTCCTAGGCTTTGCACTATCCTATGCTGCTCTCCCAGGTTACAAGCATGTAAATGGATTAAAAGTGCAGCAACCAGGACAAAAACTGGTGCCTATATGTGATACCAGCACTTATAGGTAGAGGATTAGCATGTTGAGCCACTACACTGACCCTAAGAAACCTTTTTTTTTAAAAAAAAAAAAAGATTTATTTATTTTTATTGGAAATGCAGAGAGGTGAGACAAAAAGTTCTTCCATCCGCTGACTCACTTCCCAAATGGCCACAATAGCTGGGCTAAGCTGATCCGAAGCCAAGAGCCAAGAAATTCCTCTGGGTCTCTCACATGGGTGCAGGATCCCAAGGCTTTGGGTCATCCTCTATTGCTTTCCTAAGCCATAAGCAAGTAGTTGGATGGGAAATGGAGCAGTCAGGACACGAACTGGCACCTATATAGAATTCCAACACTTGTAGGTGGGAGGATTAGCTAATCGAGCTATTATGCAGCACCAGTCCCAAGATTTTTTTAAAAAAAGATTTATCTTATTGGAAAGTCAGATTCACAGAGAGAAGGAGATACAGAGAGAAAGATTTTCCATCCAATGGTTCACTGCTCAAGTGACTACAACGGCCAGAACTGAGTCAATCCGAAGCCAGGAGCCAGGAGCTTCTTCCTCTGGGTCTCCCATGTAGCTGCAGGGTCCCAAGACTTGCACCATCCTTGACTGCTTTCCCAGGCCACAGGCAGGGAGTTGGATGGGAAGCAGAACAGCCAGGACACAAACCAGCACCCACATGGGATTCTGGTGCATGCAAGGTAAGGACTTTTAACCATTAGGCTATCATGCCAGATCCTAGCCCCAATATTTATTTATTTTTATGTGAAAGGCAGGTTCACAAACAGAAGGAGAGACAGAGAAAGATCTTCCATTCTCTAGTTCACTCTCCAATGGGATGCAATGACAAGAGCTGAGCTGATCTGAAGCCAGAGCCAGGAGCCTCTTCGGGAGCTCCCTCGTGGGTGCAGGGTCTCAAGCATCCTGTTTTTCAAGGAGCAGCTGTTGATGCTGTAGCTACTGCTCACCAGTTACCCATGAGGCTGGCCTGTTCTGTGCATATGCTGCAGTCGCCACCTCTGCTCCTCTCCACTGTGTTATCCCTGTCTGTGTGGGGATCTCATCCAAGCCAGGCGTCCATGTTGGCTTGCTGTCCTCATGAGCTCATGAGGCTGAGTTCCAGAAGGCCTCCATGAACATCTGTCCATATGCTCCTGACTACACACGAGTTGGATTCAGTGGTGCCAGAGGAGACACCTGTGCTGAGAGGCACTAGGAGGCCCAGTGGATCTTCCGGACACCCCTGCCCACTGTACCCACGGTCCTCTCCTTCCTTCTCTAAACACATACCACAAAAATCCTCTTCCTTTCCTGTTTTCCCATCCAGCTGGAAAATTCTGGATCTGGGACACAACCTGTAGTCAATCCTAACTTTGTTCCAATGAGCTGCTGCGTGCTGAAAGTGGCAGGTTACAAGAGGCCCCCAATTCTCCCCATCACTTCCTGGGAAGACAAGACAGAGTCAAAGACAGTATATTTTTTTAATACCCCCCTTCTGCTAAAGCTAATGTTTGAACTACAAGGGCGCGTGGGGCTTTCAAAGGCGTTGGAGGCTGCAGAGCAGGCCTGGGTGTTGACAGCCAAAAGGTGGAGAAGCAGCAGATGTCTCTTCTCTTCCGTGGCCCCAGAGTGTCTCAAAGAAGGCAATCATGGCTCCTCTGCCAGCTGGCCTGTGCAGTGCTGGGGGCCATGGAGGCAGGGTCTCTGATGTTCCTGATTGGGGGTGAGGCAGATGGTGGAAGCTTCCAGAAAGTCTTCACTCTATACCAAAAGGGAAGGAGACCCAGGTGCAAGGAGGACACTGGGACTGAATAAGGAGGTCCCTGAAGAGGAAGAGTAACGAGGTCCAGATGGTCTTGGGCACTGAGGGTGTCATCACAGCAGGTTTCAGCATCAAGTCTACAGGCTTCTTTAATTTCCCCTGTCCACCAGGGGGGCTTTCTTCAGAGCTGTTCAGGCTCCTTGCAGCAGAATCGTGGGTGTTCCTCCACTCTTGGATGTCCAGGCTCCAATTTGTTGTTGTTGTTGTTGTTGTTGTTCTAAGTCTCCATCCACTTTCTACTTTCCAGGCAGTTAGGCTGAGAGCCAGGAAGCTTTCTTCTACAGATATGTGACTTCTTCCATGCTGGGTCTGTGCCCATTTGGTGTGGGGCAAGAACCCTTCTGTGCCTCCTGGTGAGTGTCCTGAGAGCCCAGTACCCGCCAGTGGATGAGACAGATGCCATTCTCTGGCTTTGGCACTGGTGGCTCTGTGAGGAAAGTGGCATGTCCCTTGTGCAGCCTGGGCTTCACATGAACTGCCACCACAATGCAGATGGCCAGCAGAACAAAGGCGGCAACGATGATGGTGATCTGGGGCAGCCCGCCCCCTGGTGGTGGCTCCCAAGCTCCTCCTAGCATCTCTGGGAACTGCCTCTGGAGTCCCTGTTCTGGCGAGGAGCCATTCACAGCAGGAGGGGGCAGGGAGTAATGGCAAGCCTGGGAGGGGAATGGCAGAGAGAGAGGGTAGCATAGATGTGTGCACACAGAAAAAGACCAAAACAGAAACAGATAGATACCCAGGGGGAACTGAGAGAGACAAAAACAGAGAGAGAAACTCAGGAGAGACAGTAGGGGATAAACACAAAGAGGCACAAAGACCCCAAGAGAGGACGCGAGCACGTACACACACACACACACACACACACACACACACACACACACACACGTACACACACACACACACACGCACACACACACACGCACGCACACACACACGGGGGGGGGGGGAGGAAGGTAACAGGAAGAACAAAAGAAAAATATAGAGGGGATATGGAGAGAGAAAGATCCAAAAAGCAAAAGAGATAAAGACACAGAGAAACAGGACAGAGAGGGAGACAAAGTCATTCATAAGGGGACAAAGAGAAGGAGTTCATTAGGTTCCAGCCTACAGAGCTTGGTTCTTAAGTCCCCTCTGTGACCTGGGGTCAGTAATATCAATATGCTTGGGGCTGTGTCCCATGTCTTGGGCAGTGGCATTGAGCAACTGCTTCCTGTGAAGCTCTAGAAAAGGGAGTCCCTGGCCAGCAGCATCTTGGGCTGGAAGGCAGAAATATGGCACCCCACTGGGGAGGGTGACAGGACGTGAGGGCGGGGGTTATGAACCTCACAGGTATCAAGTGAGGTGGTCAGGGAGGTTGCTTCATCCTGTAACCGTGCCCTTTGGCCCCAGGCCTCAGGATCAGGTTCAGGGGACCAGGCTACCTCTGTCATGGTTCCAGGGTTCTTCTACCAAAAGTTGGTGGTCCTGACCCCACCCTGCTAATTGTTGAGAGGAAGCAGAGGGAGTCACAGAAAGGTAGCAAATCCCAAACCTGAATCCCAACACTGGTGAGCTCATCACAGCTTCCAGAAACATTTTCTCCTTTGCCTCTTGCCATCCCTGCTAGACTATCCGCCCACTGCCTCTGAGCTTTCAGTCTGGTTCTCCCATGGGTAGGAGGCAGCAAAGGCTGCCCAGGGTAAACCCACTTCCTTCAGCCCTCGGTCACACTACCCACCTGGTCCTGACTCCCCCACAGGAGCCTGTGTGGAGAGACTGTTCCCCACCCCTTGCAGGTCTCAGCCTCTCTGGAGCTGGCGGAGGGGGTGGGGCAGAGCTCCTGGGGCGGAAACACAGAAAGGGGGCCCAGGCAGGGGAGAGGAAAGCTCAGCCTGTGAGAGGCAAGGGGCCCTGCAGAGAGTCGGGCTAGCCTGGCAGAAAGGGTGAGTGGAGAGTCTACCTGGTGCATTGTCCGGGATGGCGTGGGGCTTCCTGGGGACTGCCAGCCAGTAGGCAGGGCAAAAAGAAGCTGGCTGCCCAGGCTCAGCCCCTACCCGGAGCTGCCACGTCTGCGGGCCTCCTGGGGCACACAGCCTCCACCCTCTGCACACACCCTTACCACACTTTCCCGCGCTTCTACTTCCGGGAACATCTGGGCTGCCCTAGCGAGCCCTTAACTCTGATACTACCACCGTCGGTATCCTTGGCACTTTTCATGCCCCCTGCCAGCTGAAGGAGCCTGTGTGTGCCTGCCCAACCCTTCCCTGCCATATCTCAGCCACCTGGCTGTCCCTCCCTTTTGCTCACCCCTCACCAGAACACGGTGGTCTCCATCTCACTTCCTCAAGTTACCGTCCTTTGTTCTTTCCTTTTTAAATGCATTATCTCAAACTCACTGGGAAGTGCAGATGATAAGGTACTCTATATAATACACTGTGTAAACATAATAAATTCTTCTTTTTAAAAGAATTTATTTATTTATTTATTTATTTTGAGCCCAGTGGCGTGGCCTGGCGGCTAAAGTCCTCGCCTTGAACGCACCAGGATCCCATATGGGCACTGGTTCTAATCCCGGCAGCTCCACTTCCCATCCAGCTCCCTGCCTGTGGCCTGGGAAAGCAGTCAAGGATGGCCCAAAGCCTGGGGACCCTGCACCCGTGTGGGATACCTGGAAGAAGTTCCTGGATCCTGGCTTCGGATCGGCATAGCATCGGCCGTTGTGCTCACTTGGGGAGTGAATCATTGGATAGAAGATCTCCCTCTCTGTCTCTCCTCCTCTCTGTATATCTGACTTTCCAATAAATAATCTTAAAAAAAATAATAAAATAAAATTTTAGGGCATGGTGGGGCAGGCTAGCAGATGGGATCCCATTTGGCACCAGTTCCAATCCTGGCAGCCCCACTTCCTTCCCACCCAGCTCCCTACTTTTGGCCTGGGAAAGCAGTCGAGGATGGCCAAAAGCCTTGGGACCCTGTATCCACATGGGAGACCCAGAAGAGGTTCCTGACTCCTGGCTTCAGATCAGCTCAGCTCTGGCCATTGTGGCTGCTTGGGGAGTGAATCAATGGACGGAAGATCTTCTCTCTCTCCACCATCCTCTCTGTATATCTAACTTTGCAATAAAAATAAATAAATCAGGCCCGGCAAGGTGGCCCAGCGGCTGAAGTCTTTGCCTCAAATGCACCGGGATCCCATATGGGCGCTGGTTCTGGTCCCAGTGGCTCCACTTCCCATCCAGCTCCCTGCTTGTGGCCTGGGAAAGCAGTTGAGGACAGCCCAAGGGCTTGGGACCCTGCACCCCCGTGGGAGACCTGGAGGAGGTTCCTGGCTCCTGGCTTCAGATTGGCGCAGCACCAGCTGTTGTGCTCACTTGGGGAGTGAATCAGCAGACAGAATATCCTCCTTTCTGTCTCTCTTCCTCTCTGTGTGTCTGCCTTTCCAATGAAAATAAATAAATCTTTTAAAAATAGATAAATAAATCTTTGAAAAAATCAATAAACTTATAAAAAATACACTTGATCTTAGCCAAAAGGCCGCAAAGTCATTAAACAAATACTCAGAGTTATAAAATCATAAAGTAGAAGCCCCTGTTCCTGGCCTCTGTCCTCCTTCCTTCCTCAAGCTGACCACCTTGTAGCAACGGATATGTCTCAGTTTCAGGCATATATATTCCCCCTTTGATTTTTGCAAACATGATTTTGTAAAAATCTCTCTTTTTAAAAAGCCTTTTTAAAAAATAGTTTTACAAAGTTAATTAGGGTGATTAGGGTCAAAGGCTGTAGGAAGGTGGGTGAGACCATTATTTGCACATTCTCTTTTTCTTCCTTCCTGTATCTGGGGAAAAGGAGGGACAAGCCAAGAAGCCACACCCAGCCTCCCAAATGCCTCTGTATCCTGGGTTGGAGACCATCACTCGACACCACCTCAGGGTCCTCAACGTGGGGCATGCTCTGAGGGTCCTGCTCAAGAAGTTTTGATAGTTCAACAGTTCTGAATGACTGCCGATCTTGCCACTCTAAGCACAATGAAATCTCTCCGGACTCCACTGGCTGACGTAGTCCAATTTAGAGTCTCCGTTTGCCCAGATACTCACTGCCAACACTTGACTGGGGCAGTTGGTCAACTTGTTTTCAGGTCCTCCATCCTCTGATATGATATCAGGTGTCTTCTGCAGGATCCAATGCACTGCCATACCTTCCATGTGCACCTGGATATGATGTCCACGGCTCCATCAAAGCCACTGAGGAGGCCCAGCTCTCACACATATACACACTCCACGGTCAGATCATGGAACCTGCAATTCTCTCCATGGTTGGGGTTCTGCGTCCAGAAGTTCAGAAACTTCATCTGAGGTTATCCCAGACCTGATTCTTGTGTGTACTTGCCAATACAGGGTCCAGCACAATCTGTCACCCTAATGAGCTTATACACATGCTGACAATTGCAAATGCTGGGTCAGTTCTGTTTTGAGCTTTGTCTTCTACACAAACCAATGGGTCCTGCCCAATTCTGCTAACCATACACTCGTCCCTCATGCAAACCAGTGGGGGCTGCAGTCTAGCTAGAGTGATCCACAATAACCTCTCCACTTGGCCTGCCCCTGCCCTGGTTCTGTGCTTGTCAGTATGTACAGCAGACTGGTCCAGTCTGTTCCACATCCCATTTAGCTCTTATACATGTCAATGGGCATTGAAGCCTAGTTCAATCCAACCAGCCTCACTATCCAGCCCACACATGTGCTGGTGGGTGCCACTCTGTTTAGCCATGCCTGCCCCAGTTCTGGATCTCATGCTCACCAGTCAGAGCGGCAACCCAACAGGAGGTGCCCACAATTTCCCTACTGGGTCCACTCCCACTCTCAGAGCTTGTACTCTCCAGGTGCCTCTGCAGTTTAATTTGACAGAATTTGCCCCTCCATGCCAGCATCTGCCAGCTGATGCTGTGGTAAAGCCCAACCAACCCGTACCCATTCTGACTTATGCATGCACCAGTAGGAACAGTCAACCCAGCCTGGCTTTCCCTGATCCAGGAAAGGTGGGGATTAAACCATTAGGCTATTTAGCGCCCCACCCCCCCTTTTAAAAGATGTATCTTTTATTTGAAAGGAGCATTGAAGAATGAGAGGCAGAGACATAGAGGAAGCAGAAAGAAAGGGTACGGGTCCATGGGAGACAGAAAAATAGAAAGATCTTCCATCTGCTGGTTCACTACAAATGGCTATAATGTATGTGCAAGGCTGGGCCAGGCCTAAACCAGGAGCCTGAAATTTCATCCTGGTCTCTTGTGGGCAGCAGGGGCCTAAGGGCTTGGGTCTTCTTCCACTGTTTTCTGAGGTACCTTAACTTATGGCCTGGGATAAGCCCAAAGCCTTGGCACCCTGTACCCATGTGAGAAACCTGGAAGAAGCCCCTGCCTTCTGGCTGCAGATTGACTCAACTCCAGCTACTGTCGCCATTTCGGGAGGGAACAGCAGATGAAAGATCTTTGTCTCTCCTTCTTTCTGTAAATCTCATGTGCATTTCTAATAAAAATAAATCTTTAAAAACAAAACAAACAAAAACAGTGTCTGGTACTATACAGGAAATGCTGAATAAAAATTTACTGAGCAGAATTGGAAACTGGAAGAATACGCTACTCTCGCAAAACACACATCCTGTCCTAAATCCTCGAGGCCTACAAGAAGCAGAGTACCCTTTTCCTATAGCACAGCACTTGAGAACCAACCACAGTCTTCACCTATTCACTCCCTGGCTCTGTCTGGAGTTTGTGATCATGGAGGCTCTTGTGGTGGGTTCAAGAGACTATCAACCAAGAATCTGCCCGTGAGTCAGGTGTTTGGCACAGGGATTAGGACACTGCTTAGGACACCCACCTCTGATGCCAGAGTGCCTGGTTCGAGTCCCAAGTCCACCTCTGATTTGGCTTCCTGTTCATATACACCAAGCAAATGTAGATGATGGCTCAAGTTCTTGGGCCCCTGCCACCCACATGGACGATCAGGATTGAGAGCCAGGTTCCTGCCTTCAGGCTGGACCAGGCCCAGCTACCTTGGGAATGAACCAGCAAATGGAAGATATTTCTCTATGTTTCTAAAAATAAAACATAACTTTAATAAAAAGAAATTACTCTTTTCCCCTAGGGAACAAAAGCCCCTGCTTCTGAGACCTAAGTTCCAGAACCAATGATGAAAAAACCAGGGTCCTCCTTACCATCACCCCCTCTTGCCTGAAGGCCCCTAAGTTCTGTCCTTTGGGGTCACCTCTCTTTCTCAACCCCCTAAGGAAGGAGGAAGTGGCCTTGTTTGCTTGGAGAATCAAGCACCTTCCTTCCCTCTCGCTGGGACCACTGAAGCAGCCAAGGCAGGATTCAGAAGTACGGTGTGTGGCACACCACTGTAGGCCAGAGGATATTGACATAGAGTCAGGTGAGATCTGAAAGCCCAGGGACTTTTTGGGGTCATTGTAATTTCGAAGCCACGAGGGAAAGCCAGAAGTAAGGGCTGTCCACCTTAACCACACCTCACTCCCAAACTTCCTGTAAAAGTTAAAGGTCTATAAGGGGTTTGGAGGGTCCTTTTTAAGGTAATGATATCAATTTCAGCTGTGTTGGTTGCACAACCCCATGAAAATACTAAAAGGCATTGAGTTGTACATCTCCAAAGAAGAGGAATGAGGAATGTACCCTTGGTGGGGAAAGAGCCCTGTGAGGTATCAGACTCTGAGTGGGGTGGGGAAAACATCTGTGAGGCAGGGTGTAGTATCTGAGATGGAGTCTGGTTACTTTGAGGAGAATGATCAAACACATGGATACTGTCAGCTAAGTGTGTTGTGTATCCACAGCGGGTTGAGCCATTGACTGCACACCAGAAACCCCGTATGGGAGACACTTCAAGTCTCAACTATTCTGCTTCTAATCCAGCTCCCTGCTAATGTACTGGAGTAGGCAGCAGAAGATGGGCCAAATACTTGGGTCTCTGCTGCCATGTGGGAGGCCCAGATGGATTTTAAGGGCTTCAGCCTGACCCAATTCCATAGCCATTCTAGGAGTGAAGCAGTGGATGGAAGATCTCCTCTCTCTTTCTCCATCTCTCTGCCTTTCAAATAAATAAATAAATGCATAAATAAGTACATAAATAAATCTATTTTTAAAAAAGATTCATTGGGCCCGGCACGGTGGCGCAAGTGGTTAAAGGTCCTCGCCTTGCACGCCCAGGGATCCCATATGGGCACCAGTTCTAATCCCGGCAGCCCCGCTTCCCTTCCAGCTCCCTGCCTGTGGCCTGGGAAAGCAGTCGAGGACGGCCCAAAGTTTTGGGAACCTGCACCCGCGTGGGAGACCCGGAAGAGGCTCCTGGCTTCGGATCGGCATAGTATCGGCCGTTGCGGCTCACTTGGGGAGTGAATCATCGGACGGAAGATCTTCCTCTCTGTCTCTCCTCTCTGTATATCCACCTTTCCAATAAACAAAATAATCAAAATAAATCTTTAAAAAAAATAAAAAATAAAAAAAAAGATTCGTTTGTTTTAGTTGCAAAGGCAGATTTATAGAGAGGAGATACAAAGAGAAAGATCATCTGTCTGTTGGTTCACTCCCTAAGTGACTGTAACAGCAAGAGCTGAGTCAATCTGAAGCCAGGAGCTTTTTCCATATCTCTCACACAGATGCAGGGTTCCAAGGCTTTGGGCCACCCTCTCCTGCCTTCCCAGGCCACAATCAGGGAGCTAGATGGGAAGTGGAGCAGCCAGGTTATAAACTGGTGCCCATATGGGATCTCGGCACACCTGAGGCGAGGATTTAACCACTAAGTCATTGTGCCAGGCCCAAATCTGTCTATCTTAAATAAGCAAGAATGGATATGTTAAGCATGATGGAAGTCAGGTAACAGAGAAGCCAGCTGTTCAGAAGCACCCCCAGCACTGAATGTGCCACCTGATCTCATTTTTAAAAAATATTTATTTATTTTTATTGCAAAGTCAGACATAATACAGAGAGGAAGAGAGACAGAAAGAAATATCTTCTGTCCATTGATTCACTACCCAAGTGACTGCTACGTCTGGTACTGCCCCAATCTGGAGCCAGGAGCCTCTTCCAGGTCTCCAACTTGGGTGCAGGGTCCCAAGGCTTTGGGCCATCCTCGACTACTTTCCCAGGCCATAAGCAGGGAGCTGGATGGGAAGCAGGGCTGCAGGGATTACAACCGGTGCCTATATAGGATCCTGGCACATTCAAGGCAAGGACTTTAGCCACTAGGCCATGATGCCGGGCCCTGATCTCACTTTTAAAAAGTGTTAAGTTGAAAGTCATAGTTAGAGAGAGGGTAAGAGAGAGGGAGAGAGAGGGAGAGAAAGGAGGAGAGGGAGAGAGAGAGTGAGAGAAATTTTTCTAGCTGTTAGTTCACTTCCTACAGAATTAGAAGCCAGGAGCTTCATCTAGGTTTCCCACATGGGTGGCGGGGGACCAAAGTGCTTAGGCCATCTTCCTATGCTTTCCTAGGCCATTAGCAGGGAGCTAGATGTAAAATGGAGCAAACAGGGGCTGGAGTGATAGCTCAGTTGCCTAGTTCTTGGAAGATTTGGAAGAAGCTCCTAGTTATTGGTTTTGGATTGGCTCAGCTCCAGCTGGTGCAGCCATTTGGGGAGTGAACCAACAGATGGAAGATCTTTCTGTCTTCCCTTTTATCTGTAAATCTGCCTTCCCAATACAAAATTAAAAATGAAAATGGAGTAGATGAAACACTAACTGGAGCCTATATCGGCTGCTGGTGATGTAGGCAGGCACTAGCCTTATGTACTACTCTACGGTGCAGTTCCCACCCACTTTCTAAACACTGTTTGTTTACTTGTCTGCTTATTTAAAAGGAAGCGTTACAGACACACAGAGAGATGAAGATCTCCCATCCACTGGTTTGCCCCTGACATGGCTACAGTGGCTGGGTATAAGCCAAGCTGAAGCCAGAAGTCAGAAACTCCATCTGGTTTGCCTTGTGGTTGACAGGGACCAAATCACTTGGGTCATCATGTGCTGCCTTTGCAGGTCCATTAGCAGGAAGCTGGATTTTAAGAGGAGGAGCTGGGACTTAAACCAGCATCCTGAAGGGGATGCAGGTGACCCAAGAGGCAGCTTAACCTGCTGTGAACTGTCCCTACCCCATCTTACTTTTTTTTTTTTTTAAGGATTTATTGGGTCCAGTGAGGGGAGAGTCAGACAGAAAGATCTTCCAGCTGTTGGTTCACTCCCCAAGTGGCTGCAATGGCTGGAGCTGATGCAAAGAGCTTCTTTCAGGTCCCCCACACAGGTGCAGGGTCCCAAGGCTTTGGACCGTTCTTGACTGCTTTCCCAGCCACAAGCAGGAAGCTGGAAGGGAAGTGGAGCAGTCGGGACACAAACTGTTGCCCATATGGGATTCTGGCACATGCAAAACGAAGACTTTAACCACCATGCTACTGTGCCGGGCCCATAACAATAAATCTTTTAAAAAACATAATCTTAAAAAAATAAATCTTCTGGGATTTATTTGTTTATTTGGCATGAAGGGAGGGAAAGAGAGAGAGAGAGAAAGAGGAAGAGATAGAAAGAGAGGTCTTCCATCTTCTGGTTCACTGTTCAAAGGGATGCAATAACCACAGCTGAGCTTGGCTAAGCCAGGAAGCTGGAACACCATTCAGACATCTCATGTGGGTGGGAGGAACTCAAGTACTCGAGCTGTATTCTACTGCTTTCCTAGGTGTTCATGAAACCAACGCTCTCCTATGGGATGCTAGGATGGCAGGTCATTGCTTAAGGTCTGCACCACAATGCTGATCTCCCATCTCACCTTCTAAATCTGATTTAACACCAGAAAGAATGAAAGCTCCTTGGTGAATTTAGGTGAGTCTAGGCTGGAACAGGGAAAGCCCGCGTTGAACCTGGAACATCTCAGTACACCATAATGCTAGGCTGTGCTCCGAAGACAGTAGAGCCACAGCCAAAGACACAGTGACCAACAACAAGGGGCTTAAATGGACAAGACGGGTGACAATTTGAGCATCAAAATAAGAAATCATGGTATTACACAACCATTGAAAAAGCAGGAATAATTGGCTCTATACAGCTTAAACAGACATGCAATGTATAATCCTAGACTGGATCTTTTCACTATAAAGGAGTGTGGGCAGCAATTTTTTTTATGATATACATTTTTTATTGGAAAGTCAGATATGCAGAGGAAGAGAGACAGAGAGGAAGATCTTCCATCTATTGATTCATTCCCCAAGTGGCTGCAACAGTCACAGCTGAGCTGAGCTGATCTGAAGACAGGAGCCAGGAGCCTTTTCTGGGTCTCCCATGTGGGTGCAGGGTCCCAAGGCTTTGGGCTATCCTCGACTGCTTTCCCTGGCCACAAGCAGGGGGCTGGATGGGAAGAGGGGCTGCCAGGACACGAACTAGCACCTATATGGGATCCCAGCATGTGCAAGGCGAGGAGTTTAGCCACTAGGCTCCCACGCCAGTCCCTGCTCTTTTCTTTAAAGCTACTGAACTTAACTCAATAAACATGTGCTGAAGATCTATTCTGCTTTCTGCGGCAGGCATTGAGTTGGGTCCCAGGGAGAAAAGTGACAGGGCTGGCCCAAATTCTACAGGAGAGAATATTACGAGATGTATACCTGTGTCTAAGGACTAGGTATCCCAGTTCTCTGGCCCAATGGGGTGGAGTGGCAGGAGGAGAGGTGCTTAGAGTGTGGTCCCTGTTTGTCTACTGTGAGTGTAAGGATAATGAGTTTGAGGCCTTCCTCTGAGACATAGTGGGTGCCCTGTTTTCCTTGGGAACCCTGAGGAGGCTAAGGAATGCAGAGAATTCGGAGTCTTCGGAGCATGGGCGGCTGGGGACCAGCTCTGCTGGGAAAGCAGAGCTGATGAAACACCAGGGGCGGGATGGGCACTTAGACTCTGGGGGACTGCCAGGTGGTTAGTGGAAGGGAACAGAGAGGGCACGGGGCCAGGCCGCCGTGGACAGTCACTGAACGTCCTATGGGAGACCAGTTAGGCCTTGGGTGCGTTGGCGGCCAGCGGCTGTCCACCTCACATCCTCCTCTGGGCTGTGTGTTTGCTGGGCCCCTGGAGCCAGTCCCAATCTGTTTCCTTCTATTCTTTGACAGGAAACTCCAGGAGAGCTGGCCCCACCCCCACTACGTCCCAGCACTCCCTCTCTCTTCTCCACTATGGACAGAGCCTCCCTGGAGTGGCTGTCTGCCCGCTACATCCCCAGCTGACATGGGCAACGTTGGAGCTGTGCAGCTGTGCTGCGCCATCCTGGGCTTCCTCCTGCTCCAAGGTAAGAGGCGCCAGGCACTTTCCTTCCGCGATTCCTCTCCTGGGGCTGGAGCCCTGGCTGACTACTTCCTCAGGACAGGACACCACATACACACACAGAGACACACACAACCTGCCCATCCAGGGCTCTACCCAAGGGGCAGAAATTTTAGATTCTGATTGGGTTGGTTATTATCAGGTGGGGGTAAAGATATAGCCCTCTTTTTGGGTCGCCTTTTGTGGGACAGTACTGGATTCCCCAAAGAGACTCACCTCCTGAAACGCTAGTACGAGGCTGAGTGTGGAAAAACCCCAGGAGGGTGTGTGTGGGAAGTGTGTGGCTGCCCCTCTGGGCTGAGACTCTGGCCTGGACTCACTAACTGGGCTACTCTGGGCAGTTCCAGTGCAGTACTGTGAGCAGCTTAGACTTCACAGGTGATATTTTCTCTACTTTCATGTGAGGCCTGTGGACTTTCCAATGCTGCACATGAACTCAGATCACAGCAAAAGGGACTCGTGGTTAGACACAAAGACTGACCTGCCACGGAGATGGATGTAACATGCTCGCTCAGGGTCTGGCTCAGACAGACGTGAGGTGGTGAATTCTGAGAAGCACACAGGATTCTGCCAGCTGATGAGGGCTGAGGTAGCTTGTTGGGGGGGTTTCTAATTAGGGAGCAGTTGCTAGGAACCAGGAGACATGCAGGATACACTGATTCACAGAACAGCAACTTCCTTTCGGTCACCCCTTCCGCACCCCCACCTCATCCTCCGCAAGTCCTCTGTGGACAATCTGAGCCTGTGCTCACAGCAGCAGAATGTAAGGGTAACAGTGCTCCGATGGATGGGGAGGGGTGAAAGGGCCTGAGCACTGGCACCCTTTGCCTTCTGTGGAGACCTGGTGGTTCTCCAAACCCATTGGCTGAATGTGCAATCACAGATGTGATCTGGGACCGGGGGACTGGGTACTTGTGGAAACTGCCAGGGAGGCTGGTGAGGTGGCATTTTCAGACAACCAAACTCCTGGCTTTTCTACCCCGTGTCTTCTCCCAGGCTTCCTGAATGCTCAGGATAAACTTCACCTAAGCCACTACTCTCCTAACTTCTCATCCTGAGAGCACACAGTATTTATTTTCCCCTGCCTTTTTGTGGACCAGAGAGTTCTTTTCATTGATTTAATTAATTGGAAAGACAATGAGAGATCTGTTCACAGATTCACTCCCCGAAGAATATCAACAGCTGGTGTGGCCAGGCTGAATCTAAGAGCCTGGAACTCCATCCAGCTCTCGTAGTGGGGACCCAATGACTTGGGCTATTTCTTGCTATTCCCCAGGGTGCCTGTTTGTGAGAAGCTGGAATAAGAAGCAGAGCAACAACTCAAACCCAGGCACTTTTGATAATGGATGGGGTATCCCACGTAGTAGCTTAACTACTCGGCCTAACACTTGCCCTTGTAAGCATTCTTTTGAACATGCTGAGGCCCACAAAAGTATTCGAATATGGCTATACAAAATCATGGCAGACATAATACCTGGAGGACTGGAGAGAACAGAGCAAGAACAAAAATGCCTGGAATTGATCAAACATAGGTAATCTGTGAGCCGATGTGTTCTATGCCTTGAGTGCCTTTCCTCTATTTACGACGTATTGTGTCACCCACATTTTTACAGAAGAGAATGCTGAGGCCCAGGTCAGCAAGTGACAGAGCCAATAATTCAATTTAAGACTGTCAGACTATAAAAGCCATGACTTTAACTTTAAACTATGTTGCTACAGAAAACAGGAGTGGAGGCAGATGGACTAGAAAGGAAAGAAACAGGTGGGGATCAGGGAGCAGAGACCAGGAAAACCAGCCATTTTTGTGGCTTTGTTATTGGGTATTTGTGTGCCCAGGGGTTCAGAAGCCCCCTGGCCTGACACCCCTTACTAAGTCCCTCCCTGAGCACTAAGGAACCTTTATAGTGACAAGTTTGGGGAGGAGAAGATGAAAACTGGCAACTGGGAATCTAATTTTATGATTTTGGAACTCCTCCCAAATCACTAAATAGTTTTCTTTCTAAAAATGTAAGAAAATTATGCCTTCTCACCAAAAACATTACGTTGCAATCTTATAGTGGATACATGGTACTTAAGACAGGCTTGGCAGGTAACAGATATGATACTTCAAAAACTGTCAAGGGAGGACCTGGCGCGGTAGCATAGTGGCTGAAGTCCTCGCCTTGAATGTGCCGGAATCCCATATGGTCGCTGGTTCTAATCCTGGCTGACCTGCTTCCCATCCAGCTCCCTACCGGTGGCCAGGGAAAGCAGTCAAGAATGGCCCAAAACTTTGGGACCCTGCACCTGTGTGGGAGACTCGGAAGAAGCTCCTGGCTTCGGATTGGCTCAGCTCCATCTGTAGTGGCCACTTGGGGAGTGAACCATCAAACAGAAGATCTTCCTCTCTGTCTCTCCTCTTCTCTGTATATCTGCCTTTCCAATAAAAATTTTTAAAATCTTTAAAAAAATGTCATGGGAAGATGGAATTAAGTTTACTCTAGGCCCTGGGCTGGGGTGTAGCCTATAAAGCTGCCATCCATGGAGCCAGCATACTCTATGGGAAACACTGGTCTCAACTGCTCCACCTCTGATCCAGCTCTCTGCTAATGAGCCTATGAAAGCAGCGGAGGATGGTCTAAGTGCTTGGGCCCTCCACACATGAGGGAAACCAGGAAGAAGTTCCTGGCTCCTGGCTTCACAACAGCACAGCTTAGGACCTTAGGATGTTGTGGCCATTCAGAGAGTGAGCTAGCAGATGGAAGATGTCTCTGTCTCTCTTTGTCTTTCTTTCTTTTTCTTTTTTTAAGATTTATTTATTTTTAATTGGAAAATCAGATATACAGAAAGGAAGATCTTCCATCTGTTGATTCACTCTCCAAGCGGCTGCAACAGCCGGAGCTGCGCTGATCTGAAGCCAGGAGCCTGAAGTTTCCCACGCGGGTGCAGGGTTCCGAGGCTTTGGGCTGTCCTTGACTACTTTCCCAGACTGGGGTGCTGGATGGGAAGCAGAGCTGCCGGGATCAGAACTTGCACCAATGTGGGATCCTGGAGCATGCAAGGCAAGGACTTTAGCTGCTAGGCTACTGCAGCGGGCCTGCAAATAAATCTTTTATTAAAAAAGAGAGAGAGAGGAATAAAAGAGAAAAGTTTCCTCTGGCACACAGATTTTACATTTGATCTTAGCCAAAAGGCCGAGGAGCAATGGCACACAGATTTTGAAATCCGTGTATAAAATGGGACTTCAAAAAGTTCATGGAAATTGTATATTACGAAAAAAAGTGCACCAAGTTGAATTTCTCATTTAATTATATTTTTTCATAAACTTTTTGCGATACTCTTGCTGCTGTTTTGGGGATATGCCTTGGATTTAGAGGGTTCTCTGTGACCTGGTATTCCCACTGGCTTTAACTCCCCTTTTGACTCTCTCTCCCAAAAAGGAATGGGGTTTCCAGAGATGGTGATTGGGATAAAACATCAATTTAGAGTTTGGGTAACTTTGGACTTGGAAACAAGTGATAGGCCCACGGAGGAAGGCCATGGCTTAGGGAAAACAGACCAGCAGGCTGTCATGCCGTGGGTTGGGCCCTTGGCACCTGGCCGCGGGTGTTCTCCCAGGCCCAGACTTGGTGCATCTCTGGAAGGGAGAGGCCAAGGCAGCAGGAGGGCCAGGCTAGAGGCTGCAGTCCCAGCCCGGGTGCAGGGACGGGAACCCAGCTGGGCGGCTCCACTTCCCCACGTTGTTTTCCCTTCGCATTGTTCACAAGTTTCAAGAATGATTTCATGGTGGAAAATGAGCAAACACAACCTGACCTTCTAGGTCTCACATATACAGTGGGACACAAATGTAGGCACACACACGCACACACACACATAAAGCATAGAGGCCCATGACATACATATGTACATCCACGAAAAGCATCAAGGGCTGCTGATGGGAGACTCCCGATAACTGCTACCTCTGTATTTGGTTGATACCGACCATTTCCGAGGCAGCCTCCGCTTGTGACAGTGAGTTGGTTGCTTGCTCTACAGCTTCCTCACCCGCTGTGTTTACCTCACAACTTGCTTCCTGTGTAGGTCCCCACCCTCAGCTGGGGGAGGGCAGAGAGAAGCCACATGAAAACCCTAATCCCCAACACCCTTTAACCCACCTTCCCATCTCCAAATCGTCTTCTATGGAGTGGGGCCAGGATGGCAATCTTTGGAGGTGAAGCAAACTAACCAGTGGGAGGCATCAGCTATAGACTTAGGGGACTGGCTCTTCTCTATCTGGGGCATGTCATTGGTTAAAAATAACCTGCCACTGACCTTGTAGCAGGTAGTGTGACAGTCACTTATAGGACTGAAGAGACAGGAAGGACGTGGGGATTCTGAACCATGAGGTGGTGGTGATGATACAGTTGAGTCACTGTCTCAGAGGAAGCCAGCACCATGAGCCAAAGCTCACACATCCTTCAGTCCTTTGCCAAGTGCCTGCTTTCTAGCATGGGGGCCTTAGAAAGACAAAAGGTCTCTCTGGGCTCTGTGATGGCAGGAGCTTACCAAGCTAGTCTATAGAGTTTTTTTTGTTTGTTTGTTTGTTTTCATTTGTGTTGTTGTTGTAGTTTTTCATCTTATTTGAAAGACAGAGAGACAGAGATAGAAATCTTCCATCACTACCCAAATGCCTTCAATACCTGGGGCTGGACCAGACCAAAGCCAGAACCCTGGAATTTAGTCTGGTCTCCCTCAGGGGTGGCAGAGACCCAAGTCATTACCTGCTGCCAGTCTGGTTATACAACAGGAAGCTAGAATCAAAAGCAGAGCCAGAGGTCTGGCACAATGGCTAAATCCTTACCTTACCACATGCCGGGATCCCATATGGGAGCTGGCTCGTGTACTGGCTGCTCAACTTCCCTTCCATATCCCTGCCTATGGTCTGGGAAAACAGCGGAGGATGGCCCAAAATCTTGGGATTCTGTACCTATGTGGCAGACCCAGAAGAAGCTCCTGGGTCCTGGCTCTGGATCTGCCTAGCTCTGGCCATTAAGGCCATTTGAGGAATGAACAGTGAGCAGAACATCTTTCTTTCTTTCTCTCCTTCTCGCTGTAAGTCTGCCTTTTCAATCAAAATAAATACATGTAAAAAAAGGGGGTGGGGAACAGAGCTGGGAGTAGAAACTCAGCTCTTCGGTACATAATGTGTGCATCCCAAATGACTGCTTAATCACTGTTCCACACATTTGCCCCTAGACTGTGACTGTGTGTTTTCCTTTCTCCTGCAGGCCACAACTCGCAGCCTATAGCAAGCCAGACCTCTAGCTCTCAGGGTAAGGCTGAATATGCAGGACCTATCTTTTTAGCCTGGATAATCTAGTATACCTTAAAAGATAAGAGATGAAAGAGTGTGTGTGTGTGTGTGTGTGTGTGTGTGTGCGCGCGCATGTGTGTGTACTAGAAAATGCCAGATATAGGGGAAAACAGGGAAACTGAGCAAGGGGAGGCTGCAGACCTGCCAATCTCAGATGATCTATTTCAGGAACATTCAGCAGACAGACAGTTTCTCCCATCACTGGTAAGTGTGATCTCCTGCCACCCATGCCTGCATCAAGCCCAGTCATTCAGACCTGCTTGCAGCCCAGGGGTTTCTGGGTGGGTATGTGTTACCAAACCTGACTCACCTCCAACTTTCCATCTACATCTGTCCTGGCAGGAGACATCACTTCCTTAGAACCCAACAGCCTAAGTCCTCTGTCTACCACCGGTACCACAGGTATTTTGACATTCATGCTTCAGATGCCATCCAGGGAAGTCCCCATGGAGAATGATACAGCTTCTTCTCTAAAGGAGAATGCAGAGTAATGGGGCAGTGGACAAGTAAACAGGAACTCCCAGTGACCATGGCAAAGCTGAAGGCACTGAGGGGGCACACACAGCAGAGAGCGGCCACTGCCAACTTGGGGGCCTGGAGGATGCCCAATGAGTGGTCCCATGTCAGAGCATGAGCGGGAGTATAATGAGCAGGTGAGGGCTGTGGGGTGGAGGGTGGCAGAGGCTGAGGGAATTGCACTGCTAAAGGCCCAGAGGTAAACTTGAGAACAGCCTCTTCTGAGATTGAAAGTAGTAAAGAAAAGGAGGCTTGACAAGCCCTCCCTGTGACTATGCTGGCTGAGGCTCTGCCTGGGCCCTCATGTGCTTCCCAATCCACAGTGGCTCCAAGGAAGGGCTCTGTGGCCCCCATGGAAGCAGGTGAAGCTGTAACGTCAAAGTCAGGCACTATGGATGGTCACTCTGCATTTGTACTGGGCCTGACTGAGTCCCAGCCACAGAAGCACACATTAGGACTTGGTGAGTACCCAGGGCACGTGGAGGTAGAGTGAAAGACATCAGGTTGTACCTGTGTGACTTCCTTATTTCCTTCTTCTGGAGGTCCAGGTGCAACCCGCAAATGAGGGATCTTGAGGGCAGGATCCATCTTGGTTTGGGAAAGAATGAAAGGTTTTGGGTGAGAGTAGAGATAACTTGGTCCTGGTTACAACAAACGCTAAAGGAACCTGACTTGGGATGAATAAAGACATAGATACGAGGGAGATACATCCTTCATGCGCCCATGTGGGAGCAGGATCAGTGGTGGAAGCTTTCCATCTGAGCCATGCTGTCTCTCGTGCAGACACAAGAGTCCCAGGTGATGTTAGCAGCGTTGGCGATGGCACAAGTGAAGGTATGTCCTGTCTGTACTCATAGTGAAGGGGAGGGTGTGGGACACACCTGTGACTCACCCTATGCTCTGGCTCTTGGATTTTCTATACTCCCAGTCATATTTAGGGTTAAGGTATAAGGAAAGATAAGTAAATGGAACTGTCATCAGGCCTGGAATGCAGGGAGTTGAAGAGCGGAAGGGGGCAGTGACCAGAACATGTGCTCCGAGGGCCAGATTGTGTCCCTTCCCTGGCAACCTGGCTTGACAGATCAGTGCCTAAAGATAAGCATCATGTGCACTTCTCTTCTCCCACTTCACTCCTCAGCCAAACACGGTGGCTCTGCCTTGTCTGTCTGGCTTCCTGTCTGCAGCAGGAAACTCTTTCCTCTGGGCCCCAGGGGCTGATGGGGGAAACATTCTGAGCCTTCTGGAGTTCTCTGGAACTGGTACCAGGAGCAGCCACCAATGCCAATCACATGACCTCCACGGCAATATGCCACTGTCTCCTGGGGGAAGTGGGAGGGAAGCCAACTCTTGGGAAGGCCACACTGGTCCCTTTCACTGATGCACTTGACCCTGCTCCATTGTAGACAGACCTCAAGACGCTCTTCCCAAATCAACCACCATGTCCCTGAGGACGAGGGAGGACTTGAGTATCCTTCCCACCCCCACAACACAGACGGTGCTTACGGTAGCTGCATTTGGTAAGAGGGAAAGGGGGATTACGGGAGGAGACTCCACCTCTGGAATTTACCTGGACTTGGCCCAGGCACACAAGTACAAATCTCACTCATTTGTTCCAGGAGAGATTGGCCTGTGAGGAAGGTCCTGGTGGGAATAAGGCTCTTCCTTTTGGCTATGATGAACAGGAGAGGATATGCTAGCCATACAGGCACACTGGGGAGGGGCAGGAGGCAGAGAGCCCCTTGGTGCAGCTGTCTGGACAACACCAAGCCGGCATGGGAATCCTGGGCTCTCATCATTCTCATTCGCCTCCTCTTCAGCCTCTCTTTAGCCCAGCCCTTTCCTTGCTCAGGGGTCATCAGCTTCATTGTGGTCCTGGTGGTTGTGGTAATTGTCCTGGTCAGCGTGGTCAGTCTAAGGTTTAAGTGTCGGAAGAACAAGGAGTCTGAAGGTACCTGCCCTGATACCCGGCCTGGAGCAGAGGGAAGCCATGCTCATGAGTACCCTGCAACCCTTTGGATTTCCGCTGGGTGGGATGGAGGAGGGAGGCTGGGCTCCTGAGTTAGAGCCTCAAAGAAGTGATCTCATATTTATGCTTTTGGATTTTTACAGATCCTCAGAAACCAGGGAATTCAGGACTATCTGAAAGGTAAGACTGAGTGGAATCTTCAGTTGAATCCTAATTCCCCTACTCCAAGAGGAAATCCACACCTCTGTTAAGGGAACACACACACACATACACACACACAGTCCTGATAGCCTCCCTCGAGGCCAGGGCTAGGGGTGAGCAGGACAAAGCAGGCCTGAAAGGAAACTTGGGCGACTGGTGTCAGTGAAGCTCTTCAGCTCCCAAGCACACATAATGAAGGAATTCAGCTTCTTTCTTTCTTTTCTTTCTTTTCTTTCTTTTCTTTCTTTTCTTTCTTTTCTTTCTTTTCTTCCTTCCTTCCTTTCTTTCTTTCTTTCTTTCTTTCTTTCTTTCTTTCTTTCTTTCTTTCTTTCTTTCTTTCTTTCTTCCTTTCTTTTTCTTTCTTTTCTTTCCCTCTCTCTCTCTCTCTCTCTCTCTTTCTCTCTCTTTCTTCCATGTTTCATTCAAAGTCAGATTTACACAGAGAAGGCGAGGCAGAGAGAAAAATTTGCTAGTTCACTTCCCAAATGGCCGCAACAGCTGGAGCTGAGCTGACCCAAAGCCAGGAGCCAAGAGCCTCTTCCAGGTCTCCCACGCAGGTGCAGCGTCCCAAGGCTTTGGGCCGTCCTCAACTGCTTTCTCAGACCACAAGTAGGGAGATGGATGGGAAGTGGAGCAGCCGATGTGAACTGGTGCCCATATGGGATCCCAGGCATACAAGGTGAGGACTTTGGCCACTAGGCTACTATGCTGGACCCAAATAAATTCATCTTTTAAAAGGGGTCATTCTTTCCAGGCTTTGAAGCCACTCACTGAATACCAAGTACTGTGGTATATATTGGGCAACATTATCCCAAATATATACAGTAATTTTCCAAAGTAGATGTTACTTCATTTTAGACATTTGAAAAAATTGAGTCTTGAGTAGACAACAGGTTAAGACGTTGCTTCAGATCCTGGATCTCATATCAGAGCGCTTGGGATGAAGTCTTGCCTTTGTTTCCCATTCAACTTTCTGCTGATGCGTTTGGGAGACAGCGAAAGATGGTCCATGTACTTGGGTTCCTGCCGTACACATGGGAGGCTGGGATGGAGCTCCTAGCTCCTGGTTTGTCAGACCCAGACTTGGCTGTTGAGGGCTTCTGAGGAATAAACCAATGGACAAAAGATCTTTTTCCTCCTCTTCCTGTTTTTTTGTCTTTTCCTCTGTCACTCTGCCTTTCAAATAATCAAAAAACTTTTTTTAAAAGTCATCCCTAAAAAAATAAAATTGAGGATTAAGAGACATTGTAACTTGGTCTAGACCAAGCAACTAGTAAGCAGTAAAGCCAAGATTTACATACAAATCTTTAGGGATTCAAAGCACACTCTGACCTCATTATGGTCTACCATCAGCAGACAAATTTTTCAAAACACAGGTCTGAAGTCCAACAGACTTACAGTTCCTTGTGATGTCCTGTCACAAACCTTCTCTGTAACTAACTCCCCACCCTAGCTGCTCCACAGCCAATGGAGAGAAAGACAGTATCACCCTCATCTCCATGAAGAACATCAACACCAATAACAGCAAGGGATGCCCCTTGGCCGAGAAGGTGAGCCTTTCTGTTTTCTTCGTCCCTCCCCAAATTCACATCCTCCTCCCCATTCTTCCTCTTCTCTTCTTTGCCTGCTTCTGCCTCTTCTTTTCAGGCTCTAGTCCCTTAGCCAGGAAGCTAAGGGACAGGAGCAGAAAAACCTGCTCAAGAGTCCAGGTTCTTCTTTGTGTTTTACCCTGCCACTTCTCACCCTTCCTCATGGTGTATTCATTTGACAGGTTCTTTAAGAGTGATTTTGGGTCCCCGTGGACCTAAGGATGATGCAGCTGACGGTGCCTGTGAAGCGATGGGATTGGTAGAGGCTACAGACTACACGGAAGTGTCTGCTCAGATATAAAGGACTCTGGCCTGCCTCCAGATCGGGCAGACATTTTTTCCCTAGATGGCCATTGTAGGGACACAGCCTGCTCTTTCTGCTTCCTCGAAGTCATAGAAAAGGGGAATTGAGAGAGCAAAGAAAATGACTGATCTTCTCTGCTTTGCATTAAAATTATTTTCTGGCCTGCAGTCTGGTTTCTGTTCAGGTCATATGCCTATGTTCCTTCCTTCACAGGGCCACTGTTTCACAGGCCAGCCATACATGCAAATTTCTGCCTCAGTGGACAAATCTCTGAGAAACCTGAACAGTCAGGGGAACTTTCTGTCAGGTCTACCTCTGTTCCCCTGCTGTATTGCAGAGAGTTCAGGCCACAGACTACCCACTCAGATCAAGTTGGGAAGCAAAGGCAGAGAACAACAACTGGTCATCACCAGTAAAGAAGTCCTAAATGCACAAAGTGAGAACAGGGAGGCCTGGCATATTTTGACTATGAAACTTCAATGGTGGGGATCTGAGGGTAAATGTCCTTGGCTTGCTCCAGGGCAAACTCGCATCACTTCGGTCCTAGTCACGGGACGAAGAATGAGAAAGTATACTGCAAGGACAGGTCTACAGCTTCATAGATCAAAATCCACTCACTCTGCTACCAAAAAAAACTGTTACCTTTGTGTCCTGGGAGTAGGATAAAGGCCACAGTTGTACCCTAAAGTGATTTAAAGAGGAGGTGGGGGGTTGTTTGCCCAAGTGGCTTATATGCTACCCTGAGTGTCTGGGATCTAGTCTCAGCTCTGTTCTCTACTGAGCTGCCTGCTAATGCACATCTTAGAAAGTTACAGACGATGGGTCAAGCAAGTATTTGGGTCCTTGCTTCCCAAGTGGGAGACTAAGAGTGATCTCCAGGCTCCTGGCTTCAGTCCTGATTGTTATAAATATATAAGGAGTGGGCCCGGCACCGTGGCCTAACGGCTAGAGTTCTCACCTTGAACGTGTCAGGATCCCATATGGGTGCCTGTTCTAATCCCGGCAGCTCCACTTCCCATCCAGCTCCCTGCTTGTAGCCTGGGAAGGCAGTCGAGGATGGCCCAAAGCCTTGGGACCCTGCACCCATGTGGGATACCTGGAAGAAGTTCCTGGTTCCTGGCTTCGGATTGGCACAGCACCAGCTGTTGCGCTCACTTGGGGAGTAAATCATCAGACGGAAGATCTTCCTCTCTGTCTCTCCTCCTCTCTGTGTGTCTGCCTTTCCAATAAAAATAAATAAATCTTTAAAAAAAAAAACATTTAAGGAGTGATCCAACAAATGAGATCTCTTTCTCTGTCTGCCTTTCAAACAAATAAAATTGATTTAAAAAATAAGTTTAGTAGGGGCTAGTATTGTGGTACAATGGCTTCGGCTACCACTTGAAATGCCAGCATCCTGTCATCCAATTCTGGACCACTCGTTCCAGTTCCAGCTGCTGTGCTTCCAATCCAGGTTTTTGCCGATGTGCCTTGGAATGCAATAGAAGATTGCCCAGGGTCATTGCCACTCATGTGGAAAATCTGATGACATTCCAGGCTCCTTGCTTGGGCCATTTGGAAGATGTGTCTTTTTTTTCTGTTGCTTTGCCTTTCAAATTAATTAATCAAATTTTTAATTCATTTAAAGATTCAGTTATTGAATATTGAAAGGCAGTTACAGAGACAGAGGGAGAGATAGATTTTCCATCCACTAGTTTATTTCCCTAATATCAGCAAGGGCCAAGGTTGAGCAAGGTTGAAGCCAAGAGCCAAGAGCTTCTTCTGGGTCTCTTACATGGATGGCAGAGGCCCAAGCAGTTGGGCTATCTTCTGCTGCTTTTCCTAGACCATTATCAGGGAGTTGTGAAACAGAGCAGTTGGGATGCAAATTGGAACCCATATGGTATGCCAGTGTCCCAGGTGGCAGCTTAAACAGCTAGGTCACAAAGCCAGCCCTAAACATTTTTGTAATAAAGAAGAGGAACAAAAAGAAAGTAATTCTAAACAAAGGTATGTCTACCATGCTTGGAAATAAATCTTTGTTGAGGATAGTTTAGGGGAGTCATCTAAATGTATCAGCATTCTGATAAGCTAAGGAGCTTCTGCTAAGGAGCAAGTAAGTGTCTAGGAGAACACAGCTTATGTATTCTGTAGCAACATACACACTATTCCCCCCCTGGCTTAGACTTCACAAGATATAAGAGAAAGAAAGCCTAAACAAAAATTTCATTCTTGGGCCCGGTGCAATACCTATTGGCTAAAGCTCTCGCCTTGCATGTGCTGGGATCCCATATGGGCACCAGTTCTAATCCTGACAGCCCCACTTCTCATCCAGCTCCCTGCTTGTAGCCTGGGAAAGCAGTCAAGTACAGCCCAAAGCCTTGGGACTCTGCACCCACGTAGGAGACCCAGAAGGGGCTCCTGACTCCTGGTTTCAGATCAGTGCAGCTCTAACCATTATGGTCACTTGGGGCGTGAATCAGCACATGGAAGATCTTCTTCTCTGCCTCTTCTCTTCTCTGTATATCTGACTCTCACAATAAAAATAAGATAAATCTTTTAAAAAATTTCATTCTCCTTGTCGCATCAAGACTATCACAGTGGGGCCGGAACGATGCAGTTGGTTAAGTTACTACCTGGAATAACTTACATGTATCTCATATGTCTGCAGGTTTGAGAGAGAAAAGGATCTTCCATCTGCTGGTTTATTTTCTACGTAGCCACAAGGCTAAATCCCAGAGCTAGGAATATCCATAGGGATATCAGGAACTCAAACACTTATGCCATCTTCCAGTGCTTTCCCAGGCACATTGGCAGGGAACTGGATCAGCCAGAGCTCATATTGGCATCCCCATACCATGCTGGTGTTACAGCTGGGAGCTTAACCTGCTATGTATGCCACAGTACTGCCACCAGCTTTTTTACTTTTAAAGTGAGATGGCTGGACTATCCGGCTTTCATGTTTTCTAGTTATTATAGTCCAAAAGTTTATAAATCTAGACATTAGAAAAAAACACAATCTAAAAACAAACAAACAAACAAACAATTTATTGAGAGTTTACTCTGAGGTCAGTCTTTAACATTGGACTTTCATTTTCCTACCTGGCCTGGTCTCCTTCCAGTGGTGTGTGATAGATAAAATGGAATCATTAATGTGGAGGCTCATGTGAAATTCACATCTTAGTGGGCAGCTGTAGCAGACCACCGGGAATATGACCAACTGCAGTACCACCATCTACAGTAGCACCACCTGGAGTTCCATGGCCCAGGCCCCACTGCAAAGACAACTGCTTCCCCGCTGCTGAGCATGTCAGCTGTTGGGGCTCTCAGCTGGGTAATGACCAGCTGTTGGGAGTGGAGGTGGGGATGAAAACCCAGGTCTCTTATGTCCATGTCCTCCCCTACTGCTTCTCTTATTCCTCACAGCTCTTGTTCCCAGGAGCTCTCCCCAAGAAACCTTGACTTGGGCCCATTGTGGTAGTCTAGTGGCTGAAGTCCTCACCTTGCATGTGCAGGGATCCCATATAGGTGCTGAGTCCTGGCAACCCCTCTTCCCATCCAGCTCCCTGCTTGTGGCCTGGGAAAGCAGTCAAGGATGGCCAAAGCCTTAGGACCCTGCACTTTCATGGGAGACCAGGAAGAAGCTCCTGGATCATGTCTTCGGATTAGTGCAGGTCTGGCCCTTGCAGCCACCTGGGGAGTGAATCAGCGGATGGAAGATTGTCCTGTTTCTCCTCCTCTGTGTATCTGACTTTCCATTTTTAAAAAATTACGAAAAAAACCCTTGACTGTAAAGTTCAGTGTTTCAGTCTATTACCTGAGTTATCCAACTCATAACATTGCTACTATAGTACCTAAAAAAATTTTTCACAGGCCCAGCATGGTGGCTCAATTGGTTAATCCTCCCCTCACAAGTACCAGTGTTAGAGTGTGGGTAAAATGCTATTGTTGGGCAGTGTGAGGTTCCTTTGTGTAGAGAAAACTGCTACTTTGCTAGGCCAGGAGGCGCCTGGAGCGTGGGAGGATTCCGCTTTAGTGAGAAATCTGTTCTTTGCTGACCTGCAACTTTGTGAACCCAGGTGCAGCAGGGCAAGGGCACAATTCTTCTCCGGTCCCAAGAACAGGAGAAGATAAGGGTGTGAAATGGGATGAGCCATACAGATAATGGGTATGTTAACAGAACAGGTTGCCTGTGCCTGAAGGCCATAAAAATGAACATGTCCAAGGTTGTTACTTTTGATGTATTTCCCAGCCCACAAGAGCCTATATAAGCTTCTGTCTTGGGCTGTTCAGGGTCCGACCGCCCTGCTTGGCTGGCCTGTGTGCCCCAAGCGCGGTCTGGCCCCAGCATGCTGGCGCAATAAACTCTGCTGTTTGCATTACCAGTGAGATTCTTTGTCGTTCTCTGGGGGTTGACCAGCTCGCACCCTGACGTCCAGGGGGCTTTAGCCCGGACTCTAACATCAGCACCCATTAAGGATGCTGTCCTGAGTGCTCTACTTCCCATTCAGCTCCCTGCTTGTGACCTGGGAAAGCAGAGAATAGGCCAAAGCCTTGGAACCTTGTACCCACATGGGAGACCTGGAAGAAGCTCTGGCCACTGTGGTCACTTCAGGAATTAACTTGCGAAGAGGTGATCTTTTCGTCTCTCCTTCTCTCTGTAAAATTTACCTTTCTTTTTCTTTTTAAAGATTTATTTTTATTATTATTTTTTTTATTGGAAAGGCGGATATACAGAGAGGAGAGACAGAGAGGAAGATCTTCCGTCCGATGATTCACTCCCCAAGTGAACGCAATGGCCGATGCTATGCCGATCTGAAGCCAGGAGCCTCTTTCGGGTCTCCCACGCGGGTGCAGGGTCCCAAAGCTTTGGGCCATCCTTGACTGCTTTCCCAGGCCACAAGCAGGGAGCTGGAAGGGAAACGGGGCTGCCGGGATAGAACCGGCGCCCATATGGGATCCCGGGGCGTGCAAGGTGAGGACCTTAACCACTACGCCACCGCGCCGGGCCCAAAATCTACCTTTCTAATGGAAAAAAAAATCATATATATTTGATTTTAACTGTAATTCCAGAGCACAAGACTTATAGGTGGTTCCAGTACAAAAATCCATTCCTGGGATGGAACCCTCCAGGTGACCTAACAATGTCTGGAAGTAATGGGTTCTGTCTGAACTGCTGAAATGCTATGAGTGCCATGGGCACTTAGCTCAGCTGCTCTATCATGTCAAACTCATTGAATCAAATATATGGGTTTTACTCAAGGTAACTGAGCTGACACCTCGATGACAAGGCCGCACATTTCTCTGATTTTGGACAATGTCCTGCACATATGAGCTGTTAGTCATAAGGTATTTATATGTATGTGGGCAGGGGCGTGACTGGCATTAATACTTTTTAGATTGAAAGGCTGCTACCCTGCCACTGACACCACAATACCGCATTAGCCATGTTGATTTTCCTGTTGCTAGGCAACTTATCTCCAGGAAGGGAACAAGCATAAACTCACTGCTTGGTTCTGCTCCAGGGCAAACTAGGTGACAGGGGCTTCTGCTGGAAGATTCTATTATTATGGAAACCTAAGACCTTACCTGTGACGGGAAATCCGGGTATAATCTCTGCAGTCCTTGCACCATCCCCAAGATCACATCTCTTCCCTGATGTCTAGACAACAGGAGGGGGCTGCTTACGAAGTGACTTCCTCCCTCTTCTCAGGCACTGCTACAGGGTCCTGAAGCAGCCTAAGTGGCCAGAGGAGGCGGGGGGGGGGGCTTGTTGGACAGTGTTCAGTGCTCTTCTTTCATTCCTTCCTCCATCCTGGGAAGCGCAACCAAGAAACAAGCTCAGACCCACAGGTCCAGGACAGAAGGCTTATTTACTTAGTACCCTTCTCCCAAGGAAGAACAGAGAAGCATATGGCAGACCTTAGTATCAAAAATCCATTACAGACTAGGGAGCATTTTTGAAAGTTAGTGGAGAGATACATGTTATGACGCAGCAGGTTAAGCCACTGCTTAGAACACCTGCATCCCACACTGGAGCAGCGGTTTGAGTCCTGCCTAATCTGCTTCTCATCTGTTTCCTGCTTAACGTGCCTTGGTAACAGCAGGTGAGGGTTTAAGTACTTGAATTCCTGCCACCATGTGGGAGACCCAGACTGAGTTCTGGCTCTTAGTTTCAGCCTGGTCCAGGCCAGATTGCTGTGGCCATTTGAGGAGTGAATAAGAGGATGGAAGATGTCTATGTGTCACTCAGGCTTTCATAGAAAAAAAAAAATCTTCCAGAACCTTTCATTGAAGTCTACACAAGCTGAGGTGCACACATTTGCACGTCAATATCTGAGAAGGCCGCAATGCTGAATCATTTTGTCTATCAAGTCCCAAACAGAAGGGGAGAGGAGGTTTCAGAGGATGTGGGAAGAGGTTGCTGAGACACTAGATATCACCAGGATACCCCAGCTTCCGGGATCCTATCCAGTGTTCTTGAAACTCGACTCGGCTTTTTAACATTTGCATGCTTTCTAGTGCTTCCTCTCAGTCCTGTTCCACCTGCAGTGTTGCAGCACTTCAACCCTCAACCACTTTCTGACATCTTTCAGAACCTCTACAGATTAGCCCTATGGCCCTGGTCCGGCCTGGTCCACACTCTGCTGTCCAACTTCTACATACCAGTAAAGAAAACCTTCTGTCTTAGGTTCTGCTCTGTGACGCCCCTGATGAGGTCCCTGGCTGCTGAGCATTTCTGGCCCCTTTAGGGCCTTCTGCGAGGGTGCCTGGGATGGAAGAGCTGGGCATGTGAACTGTATCCCACAGCTGGGCCTTTGATTCATCTGTGGTTTGGGTGACTTCCTTGTCTGAATTTTAGGGTATGATACAGTCCACCTAATTATGACAAATGATTCTTCACTTCTGCCATCCTTTTCCCTCCTATAGCTTTAGTGACCACATGCAGGGGCTAACATGCAGGGGAAAGCAGCCCCCTGGGCCTCTGGTGGTAATGTGTTGCTTGTTGTGTAATTTGTGGGTCATGATCACCAAACAGATTGGCATGGGGATTCATTTAGACGTACTAGGATCTTATAAGATAGCCAGCACATGCATGCACATGCGCACGCGCACACACACACACACACACTCCTTCATTATCACACCACAACTAATATACAATGGCAAACAACTATGGCCATTCTCACCTATGAGGGAAGAGTCCTTTTTCTTCTTTGCTGAACTCCATAAAAATTCAGAAACAACAGAAAAAGTCCCTCACTCCTTTTTTAGAGACTGGTCCTTAGAAAAGCAAGGAAGGGACTAGGGAATGGACTGGACTCGAACGTGGGCTCTGTAACTGCCTTCTCTCTCTGCGGGACTCCTGACTCTATGTCTGACCAACTGAGGGAGGCCAGGCATATCCGGAGGGTGCAGCAACCCCACAAATCACTTTTCTACTTTTGTTGGCGTTTAAGCTTCCCAGAACCGAGTCTGATATCCTCCAAAACCCATCTTTGAATTTCCAGGGCCTAGCATGGGCTTTGCACCCAAGTGGGCATTGGCGTTCACTTCAAACCGCCAACCTGAGGGAATGTCTCCATTTCCCAGGCAGAATCCTCAGTCTCACCTCCTTGGACGACCCCGGGATTAATCTGAGAAGTCACTATTCCCACTCTACACCCGAGGATGAACCAGTAACTACGAGGCTGTCTGTCAGCATTAAGAAAACTCCTGGAGCTTCTCTAGGAGGGCCTTAATCCCTTTACCTCAGATCTCAGAGGGCGCGCGCGCGGAGACTGCCGGGAGTTGTAGTCCCGTCTGGACTGGACTACATTGACCAGCGTGCCCCGCGCTCGGCGCCCCCTTCTCTTTTCAGCCTCGGGTACGGGGGAGGTTCGGCGAACCTGCTGACAGGGAACGGATATGGCGGCCACTCTGGGTAGCGGAGAGCGCTGGACACAAGGTACCAGATCCTGGCCGGAGGATGGGACAGCGCGGCGCACGAGAAAGATGAGGGTTGGGACACCTGAGGGAGAAAAAAGACTGTGGTCCTGGGCCCGAGGAGAAGGATGAAGGCCTGGGAAAAGATGCAGAGCCTGAGTAGGATCCAGATCCGGATGCGGTGGGCGACCACCCAGGCAGGGAGTGGGGCACGGGCACCGCGATGGTCCGCTAAAGGTGGGGAATGGGCGGGAGCCGAGTCCCCCAGTGACGACTTGTTGCCTGTCGTCCCGGCCCCGCCCCGTGCCCCGCCCAAGGCCCCGGTAGCCAGGGCCGCCTGCACCCAGGGACTGGAGGGCCGGCCGTGGGCTGTCTCCGAAGCTGGCTTCCTCGGCGCTTGTCCTCCGCCCTGCGGAGTCTCCTGACCCTCGGTCGCGGCCTGATGATGCCGCTGCAGCCGGCATCAGGATCTCTAGATCGGCTTCCACCATCCTGCAGGCTGGCAAAAAGTGTGGGTCCCGCGCCGTTTCGGTTCCCCGTGTTGTGGTGCTGCTGCAGTGGAGAGGTGACAGACCCGGACCCCTGAGCTCTCACAACTCTGAGCCCACTGAGAGTTTGACGGGTAAACAGCTAGCTAAAAACAGGATCATTATGTCCTGGGCCAGCAAGCTCCAGGGTTTGGGGTGCACACTGACAAGGACCCCATCGTGTCTATCAGTATGATGACAGAAGGATGCCTTGGAGTTGGCCATGCCAACTTGGAGTAAGAGTAGCAAGTGGCAAGTGGCAGTCATCACGGATCTTTCAGTGGAGACCTGAGTGCCCCTCCCACTCTGCCCAGATTCCTGTATCCCCCTGCTTTCCACTGGTACAGTGGTTTATTGACCCCTCTCCCACTATACTACACTCTTTGTGGTCTTACCCATTCACTCCCTGATCCATCAGCAAGTCTTGGGACATGTTAGTTATGTAACTTATATATTTTTAAATTAAGCTTTTCTTTAAGCTTTTTTTGTTTTGTTTTGAAAGGCAGAGTGACTGAAAAAGAGGGAAACGGAGAGAGTGAGAGAGACCCAGAGAACCCTTCCACCTGCTATTTTACTTCCCAGATGCTCACAACAGTTAGAGCTGGGCCAGCCCTAAGCCAGGAAAAGAACTTCCATCTGAGTCTCCCATATGGGCAACAGGAACCCATGGGCTTGGGCCATCATCTTCTGCTTCCCAGGCATGTTAGCAAGGAGCTGCATCCCAGGCAAAACTGCGGGATGCAGATGCCCAGGCAGCAGCCTACCTGCTGTGCCGCCCTGGCTGCCTTGCCTCTCTGCTTTCTCTTAAAGATTGATTGATTGATTGATTGATTTGAAAGAGTTTGAGTTTGAGAGAGAGAGATCTTTCACTTACTAGTTCATTCCCCAAATGGCTGCAATGACCAGAGCCAGACCAGTCTGAAGCCAGGAGCTAGGAGCTTCTTCCCAGTCTCCCATATGGATGCAGGAGCCCAAACAACTGAGCTATTCTTCACTGCTTTCCCAGGGAGCTGAATCAGAAGTCAAGCAGCAGGGACTCAAACCAGGGACCATATGGGATACCAGTGCTGCAGGTGGAAGCTTTACACACTGTGCCATGGTGCGAGCACCGCCCCCCCCAATATTATTTTATGCCGTAATGTCACTTCTGACTGTGGATCACAGAATAATAGGCTTTCCTTGGACTGTACTACAGGCAGGGTCTTGTGCCTCTCGTGTCATTTTTGACTCTGAGTCAAGATTATTTGCTGCTACTGTAGAAATAGAGGGTATTATTATAATTCATGTTTCTGGCATGTATATATTTTCTTGGCTACTTCCCATTCTTTTCTGTATTGTTTGTCACAAGCAAGGTAGTTATTCAGCTTTATATGGATCCTTAAAAGTTTGTCTGTTCCTTACCCTCATACTTACAAGCAGTCCTGGATAGATAGACCAGGTAGTGGAGTTTATTGGCACAGTGAGAGGGAAGCCTAATGGAAATGCTATTGCTTTGCAGCTTACATTGATGCAGTTAGAAGAAACAAATATCCGGAAGACAGGCCTCCTGAGAGCCATGATCCCTGTGGTTGCTACAACTGCATGAAGGCACAGAAGGAAAAGAAATCTGAGAACGAGCGGAATCAGAGCCGCCAGGGTGAGGGGAGCCCCACTTACACGGAGGAACAGCTGCTCGGGGTGCAGAGGTAAGACGCGGAGGAAATAAGCCAAAGCTGTTTTGTGAAGCACTTGGGAGAGTGCCTGGCACAGAGGATGCATGATGTAAGTGCTGACCCTGCTGTTGTGGTACTGATTGCTACTGTGAGTTTGACAATGTCTTAAGCACAGAGGAAGAACTGGGCAGAACTGGAGTAGTAGGCCATAATGAAGGACGGCTTCCCTGTTCTGCTTTCGGAAGTGTCACACGCATTCACAGACTTTCTGCCCAACCCTGACAGGCTGCATGTTTCTCTCAAATACACGTGGCATATTCTTTAGATTAAAGCCAATCTTTGGCCATAAAATGACCTCCAGTACATCTTAGAAATAATTGTGCTCTGAAATCAATTATCTTATTTGAGAAGGAGATTGAAAATTCACAAATAGGTGGAATAAAGCCACAAATTCCTAGGAAAATAATAGGTTACAGAAAAAAATCTCAAGGACAGTTAGGAAATGCTTTGAAATGAATGGAAATAAAACACCAACATACCAGGGCCCAGTGTGGTGGCCTAGTGGCTAGGGTCCTTATCTTGCACGTGCTGGGAGCCCATGGAGTGCTAGTTCTGGTCCTGGTGCGGCCCCGCTTCCCTTCCAGCTGCCTGCCTGTGGCCTGTGAAAGCAGTTGAGGATGGCCCAAAGCCTTGGTACACTGCACCTACGTGGGAGACCTGGAGGAGGTTCCAGGCTCCTGACTTTTTATTGGTACAACTCTGGACATTGTGGCCTCTTGGGGAGTGAATCAGCAGATGGAAGATCTTTCTTTCTTTCTGTCCTCTCTGTATATCTGACTTTGCGATAAAAATAAAATAAATCTTTAAGAAAATAATAAAGAAATTAGAAAAAGAAAGCAAAGTAAACTCAACCAAGAGGATAAAGGAAATAATACAAAGTGAAATTAAGTGAAAATATGGAAAAAATATATGGAAAACAAGAAAGTAAACAAAACAATAAATTGACTTCTTGAAAATGTCAAGATTTTTAGTTAGATTAATAAAAGAAAAAGGCTCAAATAACTAGTCAGACATGCAAAAGCATTGTCAATTTTATAAAACTAACAAGTACTTTCTATGATAAATTTATTTTATTTTTGATGCATGCCCACGTGTACCACTGATTAGGGTGGAGAGGGTCGAGGAATGGGGGAAAGTGGATGAGACAACTGCCTCCATTCTCCTTTTTCCTCTGACATCTGGGGAAATTGAGAGAGAAGGGGAAAGGGCTGCTCCTAGCAGCCTAACTGCATCAATACCTGGGGATGGAAGATGGCCACCTGATGTCATCCCAGGGTCCCCAATGTGAAGCATGTTCCAAGGGTACTGTTCAAGTGATTTTGATAATTCTAAGATGCTGTTGATTTCACTGCTCCAAAGTTGAGGAAATCCTTCCAAAGTTGATTGGCTGATAGAGTCCACCTTATAGTCCCCACTCACCCAGATACTTGCTGTTAAAGCTTGGCCAGGAGAGCTGTCCAATTTGTTTTGCCCTCCATGGTGCTACATGTCCTCTGCAGGCCTTAATGAACTGCTGGTTGTCATGTTCTCCAGGCATGCCGTCTTCTGCACAGGTTTTGACAACCAAGAAGATCCAGTTCTGACATGTGCACTACATGGTCAGACCACATATCCTGTGATTTTCCCCTGTGGTTGCAGTTCTAAGTTCAGTGGTCCAATTGGGGTGTCCCACAAAGAAACCTCACCAGAGGTGACACCAGACCTGACTCCTGTGTGTGCCAGCCAGTGTGGGGTCTGGCTCAGTCCATCACCTACATGAGCCTACACATAAACTGGTAGTTGCAGTCTCCAAATTAGTTCTGTCCCCAACCCCATCTCAGACGCAAACCAATGGATGCTGCAACCTAGCTTATCCTTGCTCACTACACATACTTGACCCTCACATACACCAGTGGGAACTGCAGCCTAGTTAGGGCAACTCTCTGTAACCTGCACCACCCCCACCCCAGCCCCAGTTCCTATATATGCCAATGTGTGCAGAAGACTAGTCTAGTCTGTCCCACATCCCATTTAGCTCTCATACACATCAATGGGTGTTGGAGCCTAGCTTAGCCTGACCAACCCCACTATCTAGCCCACACTTAAGCTGGTGGGTGCCACTGCCTGTCCTGCCAAGCCTCCCCCCCAGCCCTGGTTCCCATGCTCACTTGAGGGAGTTGCAGTCCATGAGAAGGGTGCCCACAATTTCCCAGCCCCAGATCTTGTACTTTCTAGATGATTCTGCAATCTAGCCTGACAGGACTTGCCCCCAGTTGCAGCACTTGTTAGTCTATGCCATGGTAATGCCCAACCAGTCTGTACTTACTCTGGTTTATGCATGCATCAGTAGATATGGTCATTTAGTCCAACCTGGCTCATCACCAACCCAGCTCACATGTAGGACAGAGGTTTTTGTTTTGTTTTTTTGTGTGGATTTTTTTTAGCCCTGCCCAGTAAGGTCTGCCCAGTTGCATCTTTCAGGCTCACCAGCAGGAGCACTGGCCCAGCAGGGTAGTCCTTATAGCCCCCTACCAGTTCATGCCCCAAGCCAGATCTTACATGTGCTTGTGGATACTGTGGCCCAGTCTGGCATGTCTCACCTTACCTTGGCATTCACCAGTAAGTGCTGCAGCCTGGCTCAGTCCAGTCTGCCCCCAGTACCACCTCATGCTGTTGGGTCCTGCACCATAACCCAGCCTGGACAGCCCTCAATCCAGGCCCTAATGTGAACTTGATGATGTTGTGCCCCAGCCTGGCTTACTGTCAGACCTGAGTCACATATATGCTGGCTGGTAGTGTAACCTGGCCTGGGCTGGGCTGCTCCTAGCCTTGTTTCTTGCACTCACCTGCAGGGACTGTCCTGACAGAGTTCCCCAAGCTCCTCTAGTAGGTCACCTCCCAGTGGCAGATCTTGCACACACCAGTGGGTTCTTGGCCTAACCTGACTTGGCCCACCTCCTGTCGTGGCAGGTACAGTGGCCTTGCCTGGCTAGCCCATATCCATTCTGGCTCTTACTGTTGAGTGTTGCAGCCTAGCCCTGCCTGTCCACCCCCAGACCCAGTTCTTGCATGGCTCAGGGGGTGCTGAGACCTAGCCCAGCCCATCCTACACCCGCCTGGCTCCTACAAGTACCAGCAGGTGCTGGAGTCTGGCCCAGTCTGGCACACACACCCCAAACCCAGGATGCATCAATGCCAAGAGATGCTGCAGCCATGTCCAGCCCAGTTCGCTGCCCCCATCCCAACTCTCTCACTCACTAGTGTTAACCACAGCCCAGCTGGGGCATCCCCTTAGCTTCCCAACCAGGTCTGCTCCCAGCTACAGGTCTTGTACATGCCGGTGGTTGCTGCAACCCAGCCCAGCATAATCCATCCCCCATCTTGACCTTTGCCATTGGGTGCTGTAGCCTCACCTGACCTGGCCCACCCCCAGTCCCAACTTTCATGGATGGGTACTAAAGCCTAGCCTTGCCCAGCCTGCCCCCATCAATGACTTTCATGCACACCAATAGGTTGACAGCCTAGCCTAGCCCATCATGGCCCCCACCCCATCCTGGCTTCTGCACATGCCAGTATACTATGTTTTGGCCCAAATTTGCTCAGTACAACCCCTACAGAGCCAATCCACACACCTGCTGACAAATGAAGCAGTCCTGTCCAGCCTGACCAATACACAACCAACTCAACACGTTCACCAGCGGGCATGTAAGTTCTCTCACCAGGCCATTCCCAGACCCAGATCTCACGTATGCCAGTGTTAGACCTTCACCCAACACAGTCTGCCCCTAAGTGTCAGCCTTTGTGTGTGCTGCTGGATGTTGCAGCCCAGCCCACTCCACACCCAATTCTTGGGTGCAGCTGTAGGTGCTGCAGCATGTTCCCAACCCCAGCACCCAGGAGTGTTGGTGAGTTCCATGGTTGTACCTAGCTCAGCTTGTCACCACTCCCAGCCATTGAGCAAACTAGCTGATAAGGCAGTCACACTAGGATTAACCAAAAAAATCCTCCAAAGAATCTACTTCCAGACCCAGTTCTTTCACATGCTGGTTAATGTCATGGTCTAGCCTGTCATGGTCCATTCCCTGCCCCAACACTGACTGGTGGGTACTGTGCTTGATCCCTGACAGGCAGGCCTCCTAGCCATGGCTCTCATGTACGCTGGTAGATGATAATTGATACCAACAAGCCACGCTCAGGTCTCCCACAGGGGGTGGATGTATTGGTTTGGCCCTGAAAGGTATTCTGGTTTCCTTCCTATAAACCATCCTGTCTCAGCCCTCTTGTTTACTTCCAAGTGCAGTAGCCTGGTTGGTGGAAGTCCCCAAGAGGTCATTCATCGCCTGTCCCATTCTCCCTCAGCAGTCTCCCTCCTACACATCCCCAAAGCCCCTTCCCTGTCAAGCCACACCCCCCATGCCCACGAGGGCAGATCCTCAAGCCTGGTCCTCTGGCAGTGTGTCATGCCACCCTGGGCCCTGCCTGCCTGCCCAGAGCCCATACACACTTGAGTGCGGGTCCCCAGACCCCATCTGCCAATGTGCTGGCATCTACCACTCCCCCTCACATATCTTTTTTTTTTTTAAAAAAAAGAGGGGGCAACTATGCTGGTACACTGATACAGTTAACATAAGTTTGGCATTAACCAAGCACAGAATGCCCATCAGCTATTGACTGCTTTTTTCACAGCAGTGTAATACTTGCCTAGGTATAATGCCTAGGCAACCTAGGCATTATAGGCAACCTAGACAGTTGCTACAGCTGGGGGCAAAAATAAGTATTATAATAGAATACAGGAACCATATTCTAAATAAAGCACATGACCTAGAAAAAATGGGCATGTGCCTTTAAAGTTACAGACAACTATTACTGGAGGCTAGCATTGTGGTACAGGAGGTTAAACTGCCACTGCCACCGTTTAAAAAGATAACCACAAAGGAGAGTGAGCAAGTGAGCGAGTGAGCAGGCTGTGCTTTCCTGTGAGTCATCTCTCAAAATCTTAGCCTCGAACCATGGGGTAAGAATTAGCACACTTGCTCTACCCATTTGCAAGAATACTGGAAGAATCAAATAGATGTACAAGTACTTTCAAAGAGATTAAGCTGTGAATGGGAAGAGAGCATTGATAATGCACTTGAATGTTTCATTAATATGTTCACTAACTTTGTTTTTTAGGTTTGTTTTGAGTCTCCCAAGTTGGAGGGAGACTGGATGTATTATTTTGCAGTAAGTATACAAAAAGTTTGTTTTTTTTAACAGATATACATATTTCTGCTTTTTTTTTTTTTTAGGATCAAAAAGTGCAGAAATTACTATGAAATTCTGGGAGTTCCTCGGAATGCCAGTGACGAAGAGCTTAAGAAAGCTTATAGGAAACTCGCTCTGAAGTTTCACCCTGATAAGAATTGTGCTCCTGGAGCAACAGAGGCTTTCAAAGGTCTGAACGTGAGCTGACAAACTGCTGCCTCATTCTGCCCTTCTGGTGACACGTCATAACAATTTGCTTTTAGCCTCCCTTGTGTCCGGCTTTTAATGGTGAAAAGTACATATTTTAAAATTAACCAACTGGGTTTGGTGCAGAGGAGCCCAACTGTGTTGGCAACATCCAAAGTATCCTAGTCAGGACCCAGTTGAACTTACAGTTTCGTCTCTCTGTTAGACCTGGTCAGGGTATTGGCCTTTGGCCACTTCCATGTCCTAGAGTTTCTTCATAGGCCACTCGACCTAGTAAATGTTGGCCTTATAAGCCACAGGGAAAGCAGTGGGCTGTCTGTCTTCCTCATGGCAGGCTCAGTGGTTGTGGGAACCTGGTGATGCCATAGCGGTCAGGCTTGCTTCTCCTGGAGGTGCTCTTTTGAGCAGGTTTGGCCTGCTCTGGGGCAGTAGTGACTCAGGCCAGGGTGATTTTGCATGGATGCAGCAATGGTATTGATGCTTGACAGTTCTGATAATGGTGTTTGCAACAGGAAAGAAAATGTCTTTGGAGATGTCTGCTGAAGTATTTAAAAGTAGAATATCATGATATCAGCAAGTCACTTTCATAGATTCAGCAATGGAATTGTGTGCACAGAAATGTACATATAGACATAGAATTGGGGGTAATAGTATGGTACCATTCTAATAATTGATGAAGCTTTTTTTTCTGATTTACTAGTTTTCTCAATTTTTCTGTGGGTTTAAAGTTTTTCAAAAAGAAAATGGGGGCCTGGCAGCGTGGCCTAGCGGCTAAAGTCCTCGCCATGTACACCCCAGGATCCCATATGGGTGCTGGTTCTAATCCCGGCAGCTCCACTTCCCACCCAGCTCCCTGCTTGTAGCCTAGGAAAGCAGTCAAGGACGGCCCAAAGCCTTGGGACCCTGCACCCGTGTGGGATACCTTGAAGAAGTTCCTTGATCCTGGCTTCTGATCGGCATAGCACCAGCTGTTGCGCTCACTTGGGGAGTGAATCATCAGATGGAAGATCTTCCTCTCTGTCTCTCCTCCTCTCTGTATATCTGACTTTGCAATAAAAATAAATTAATTTAAAAAAAAGAAAATGGAAAGTTTTAAAAAAGTGATAACTCTGGCAAATTTTAGAAATCAACATTTACTTCAGAGAACAATCCACCTTTGTTGACTGGCCATTATGAATATGGTTTTCTCAAGAAAACAAATAGATAACTCATGTTCTCTTTACAACTTTATGTAAGGTCTCTCACAGGTTAATGTCATTTCTTTGGGTCATTTCTTTGATAAGATTTCAAAGAACTGGGCCCAGGGCCTAGTGATATCCCAATAAAAATAAATAATTTTTTTTAAAATGATTTTTTTTTAAAAAGCTTATTTGAATGTTCAAACAGCTCTGTTTAGGTTTTGTTATTTACAGTTCTGTTGCTGTCAAGACTTATACAATCCCTTAGGTAAAAGAATAATAAGGAAATGTGTTTCTTTTTTTTTATTTAAGATTTATTTATTTTTATTGGAAAGGCAGATTTACAGAGAGGAAGACAGAAAGAAAGAACTTCCATTCGCTGGTTCACTCCCTAAGTGGCCACAATGACCAGAACTAAGCTGATCAGAAGCCAGGATCCAGGAACTTTTTCCGGGTATTCCACACAGGTGCAGGGTCCCAAGGCCACAAGCAGGGAGCTGGATGGGAAGTGGAATAGCTGGGAGATGAACCAGTGCCCATATAGGATCTTGGCAACTGCCAGGCGAGGATTTAGCTGTTAGGTTTTTCCACAAGTCCCAGGAAATGATTTTCTGATAGTATTGACTGAACTATAGATACAGAATGAAGATATAGTCTGGTTTTTTCTAGGTTTGTATTAATGGGTGATACTGTTTGTATATTTAAATGAAAGTGGGTCAGTTGGCACTTTCATTGGCAGGGAGAAGTGATGGTGAACATATGAAACCTATTCATTCTTAGATGCCTCACGAGGCATTAGAGATGTATTTCATGATTTTTTAAATATTGCATTCTAAAGTAAGTGGAAGTAAGACTATGATAAGGACTTTGTTTTTAGCTGAGCAGCAGGGCTTTTTTCCTGGTTATTCAAGAAATTATGTTTTATTTCTAGTTAACATATCAGTATTTATGTGAGCTTTTCCCAACCATAAACTATTGCTCTCAAGTGAAATAAGAATTTTTTCTTTTGGAAAAAAAATATTATTTGAAAGGCAAAGTGATAGGGAATGAAAGAGACCTTCCATCTGCTATTTCAGTCTCCAAATGGAAGGAACAACCAGGGCCTAGATCTCCATCCAGGCCTTCCATGTGGGTGGCAGAGGCCCTCATACTTGGATCATCATCCATGGCTTTCCAAGGAGCACTCAGAAGAAGCTGGATCAAAGGCAGAGTATCCAGGGCTCAGCATTCCGGTATGGGATGCCAGTACCACAAGGGGCAGCTTAACTCACTGTGCCTCAGTTCTAGCCCGAGAACATATCTGTGATGAATGAGAGGGCTGGCTCTCTAGAAGACATTTACTTGGTATGTTTGGGATTTGCAGTGACTGGCAACCTGGCCTGCGGAAGAGGGTGTCCTAACTTGTGGGAAGCTGGGGTGAATCAAGGACAGATGATTTCTGGATTACCCACTTTCACCCTGTAGCGCTTGACCCTTTGTACCCTAATAAACTAAGATTTTATATATATATATATATATATATATATATATATATATATATATAAAAGGACAGATGATTAGGAGGTAACTCTCACTTCTACAGTTCTTAGTTATCTGAATCTGGAGTTGTTGCTTCTTGAGCAAACCAAACCCTGCAAAATGACAAGGGCAAGCTCTTTGGGGAACTTTCTAGGCTAAGCACCTCTCCTTAGGCGCCTGTGAAGTCGTCTAGTACCAAGTAATTCCTCTGCCAGCCTCACTGCTGAATGCTCACAAGCTGCTTCTTGCTGCTTACAGCCATAGGAAATGCCTTTGCAGTCCTGAGCAATCCTGACAAGAGACTTCGCTATGATGAATACGGAGATGAGCAGGTGACTTTCACTGCCCCTCAAGCCAGATCTTACGATTATTACAGAGACTTTGAAGCTGATATCACTCCCGAAGAGCTATTCAACGTCTTCTTTGGAGGACATTTCCCTACAGGTCAGTATCCCAAAATAATTGCCTCTCTTTTTCTTTCTTTTTTAAAGATCTGTTTACTTATTTTAAAGGCAGATTCAGAGTGAAAGAAGGAGCTACAGAGAGAAAGATCTTCCATCTGCTGGCTCACTCTGTAAATGGCAGCAACATCTAGCTGAACCATCTAAAGCCAGGAATCAGGACCTTTTACTGTGTCTCCTATGTGGGTGTGGGGTCCCAAGTACTTGGGCATCCTCTGCTACTTTCCAGGTAGAGAAATGGATGGAAAGTATGGCAGCCAGGACTCGAACCAGTACCCATAACGGATACCTGCACTATAGGATTTGACTTGCTGCACCATATCACCAGCCCTAAAATATTTATGTGCCTCTGTGTGCCATATCTGATTATGTCACTGATATTTATATATATGTGTGTGTGTGTGTGCATGTGTGTGTGTGTATATATATATATATATTTTAAGATTTTTTAAAAAGATTTACTCATTTTTATTTGAAAGGCAGAGTTACAAAGAGAAAAAGTGAGAAAAGAACAGAGAGATATTCCATCCACTGATTCACTCCCCCAGGGATGATAACAGGTGTAGCAGGGATAATCCAAAGCTAGGGTCCAGGGGTTTCCAGGGGTTTCATATGGGTGCTGAGCCCTAAGTATTTGAGCCATCTGCTGCTGATTCCCCAGGTCATAAGCAGGGAGCTGCATCAGAAGTGGGGTAGCTGGCACTTGAACCGGTGCCCATGTGGGATTGTTAGCAGCACAGCTTGAGGCCTAATCTACCACCCCACGGCTCTGACCCCATCACACGCTGATATTTTTAATAGCAACTTGTAAAGTTCACTTTACTTTTTGGACATTGAACTGCCTCAAATTCTAACTCTCTAGTGGGTACTTCTATTCTTCTAACAGCTATTTTTCAATAATGCTAATAATAAACATTTTACTGTTTATTTACAAAACATTTAAAAATCAAATTCTCACAGCAAACCCATGAAGTACATATTATCAGTCCCATTTTTTAGACTTGCCTCAAACTTATTCAACTTATTCCTGTTTTTTTTTTTTTTTTCTTAAAATCTACTTATTTGAAAGAGTAAGAGAGAGAGTCTTCCATTTGCTGATTCACTCCCAAATGGTCAAAACACTCAGGTCTGGGCCAGGCTGGAGCCAGGAGCCAAGAACTTGCATCTGGGTCTCTCATGTGGGAAGCAGGCGCTGCTTTTCTACTTGGTAAAATAGGACAATACTCTGTCCTCAAAGAGCCTTACTGGGATAAGGACCTTAAAAAAGGCAAGGAAAGAGTGTTTACCAGTTCCTATACTAAGCATTTCATTTTCTTTCTTTTTCAGGAAATATTCATATGTTTTCAAATGTGACAGATGACACACAGTATTATCGCAGGCGGCACCGACACGAGAGAACACAGGCACAGAAGGAAGAAGAAGAAGAAGAGAAACCTCAGGTGTGGAGGGGGGAGAGGAGAGCAGCCGCTCCTCCAGTTCTACAGAGCCCACCCTTTCAGGGCATCATCAAGTTCTAGAAGTTCAAATGAGATACATTGCTGAAATGAGCTTTAGGAAAGCAGAGGCAGTGGTAGTGAGAGCTGAATAACTGGATCCATCCTTACCCATTCTGTGTAGTTTACCCTGGGTCTCAGTTTCCCCGGACAGCTAGCCGTCTTGCTTAAGCTTTTCTAGAACAGAAAATAGAAACACCATTATATTGCGAAGAAACTTGGCTGGGAGTCCTGACAGAGGGGCCGGGATCTAGGAGACTGTTGGGTTCTCAGGTGGTTTTTCTCTCCATGACACTTTGGAGCTGGATTGTTCTGGGTTTTCTTCTTTTATTTAATCAATTGATTTTAAAAGACTTATTTTATAAAAGGTAGAGTTACACACAAAGAAAGAGGGGAAACAGATAAGAGGTCTTCTATTCACTGGCTCACTCCCCAAATGGCTGCAATGATCAAGACTAGGCCAGGCTAAAGCCAGAAGCCAGAAACTTCTTCCAGGACTCCCATGTGGGTATCAGCGCCCAAGCACTGGGGCCTGTCTTCCACTGCTTTCCCATGCAAATTAGCAGAGAATAAAGCATCTAGGGCTCAAACCTGTGCCCATAATGGGATGCCAGTGGTGTTGTAGGCAGCCACTTAGCCCATTATACCATAGCGCTGAGCCATTTAGCCTGTTATGCCACCGCACTGGACCCTGTCTCTGGTTTTTCCAGCACTTGCCTCTGTTTTGCTGTAAGCAGTCAGGCTTGTTCTGCTTCCGCTTGCACGTGGCTGGCCCACAGTGCCCGAGAGTGTGTGTCCTTTCTTCCAGTGGAAACCTGTGGGGAAGAGTGAGGACTCTCAGCCTGAAGTTCCTGAGATGGAGAATGTGGTTATCCCCACTGGAGTTAGAATCTTCCAAGCCCAGGCAGCTGTGGCCACGGCAACAGGGTTGCCTAATAGCTAGCATGGTTCCTGGGGCCTGTGCATGTGCCTAGGGGTATCTGCTTCTTTGGGCTTCTCAAAAGCAGCTGCAGGGGGATTCCTCAGTGTCAACCGGATTGGAGTGGGATTCCTGCAGCCTCCCGACAATGAACATGAAGGCTCTTAAGGACTTCTCAGCTCCAGACACTGCCTTCTCTGAAAACTTACCCCATATATACATATATATTTTTTTTCTTTTTCAGACTACATATTCTGCATTTATTCAATTGCTCCCTGTCCTTGTGATTGTGATTATATCCGTTATTACTCAGCTGCTGGCTGCGAATCCCCCATATAGTCTGTTCTATAAATCGTAAGTCAAATCTTTCTTAATAATGATCTGGAGAGTAACTTGCTTGAAGGTTTTGCTGATCCATTACTAACATTTTGCTTCACCTCTCACTGTAGAATGCACTGATTTTATGTTTAAAGGAACTGCTGAGTGGTAAGTAATAGTGCAGGCAGTGCAGTTACAGTGTAGGTGGTGCTGAGGTAACTTTAGGCAGCCTTGGGTGGATTGTTTTGTTCTCCACTGCCATCATCTGGTCAGCTGCAGAACAGCAGCAACTGATCTTCGATGGGTCTGTAGAGGAACTAGAGGCTCAGACCAAATTTTACAAATTTACAGCTGGCAGGAAAGGACCCTATTGTGTTTGTGATAGGATCACTGGCCCCTTGGAGTCTTGGAGTAAAGTAACTGGGATCCAATAATTAGTACCAGTGTGAAAAATTGCAACAAGGGGACACTTATTCACAGCAAAACTATCTGCTATTGTCAGAGTACAGTATCATATCATTTCATTTTTGCTAAAAAGAAAGATGTTTTTTGTACTTGTTATTGCATTAAAAGTAAATTGTTTTTAAAAATATTTTCATGGTTTATTTTGGGTAATTCAGATCTCCAACTTTAGTCTGCAACCAGCATCATTGTTCCAGTGGCAGCCTGTCATACATGCAGACCCCTGGGCACGTTCCTAACTACTGAGTCAGAAGTGTTGGGGTGGTTCTGGGTCCACACTGAAATTAGAGAATCACTGGATTACTTTTTTTTTTTTTAACTATGAGTAAGGAGGTGCCGCTCATTATACTTTAGTAGGCAGAGATCTTTAAGAGTGAAATCTGTGGGGGCAGTTCTGTCTGTGAGCAGGCTGTTGCTCTCTGTCATTATCTTCCTTTTGCTAGAACAAGGCTGAGGTTCCAAGAGAGGTTGTTATGTTTTAGTTCTCACGTTCTTTGAAAAGCAGAGAAACAGATCATCCATCTGGTGGCTTGCTCCTGGGGCTAAGGCCAAGTAAAAGCCAGAGCCAGTAGCTTCAGATCTCCCATGTGGTCACAAGAATGACCAAGTATTTTAATCATCATGTGCTACCCCCTGGGATCTGCATTAGCAGGAAGCTGGATAAAAGGCAGCAGAGTTTAGGCTCAGGGCTAGAACCAGGCCCTCCAGTGTGAGATGCAGGCTTTTAGTCCACTGCAACACAGTGGCTGCCCCGAGAGGTTACTGTCACAGGCTACACTGGCCTGACTCTCACTGTTCCCAGTTGCCATGTTTTTCCACACGCACTTCAACAGCCTTTCTTTTTTTTTTTTTTTAAGCATTTATTTTCCTTGGAAAGGCAGATTTACAGAGACAAGATAGAGGAAGATCTTCTGTCCTCTTGTTCACTCCTTAAGTAGCCAAAAAGGTCAGAGCTGAGCTGATCTGAAGCCAGGAGCCAGGAACTTCCTCCAGGTCTCCCACGTTGGTACAGGGTCCCAAGGCTTTGGGCAGTCCTCGACTGCTTTCCCAGGCCACAAACAGGCAGCTGGATGGGAAGCGGGGCCACCGGGATTAGAACCCATGCCTATATAGGATCCCGGTGCATGCAAGGCGAGGACTTTAGCCACTAGGCCACTGTGCCGGGCCCTCAACTGCCTTTCTTGTCTGGCCAATGGGGCAGGCTGGGAGCTGCTATGCTAGCCCCCTGCCAGAATGAGGTGGGAGCAATCATGACCCAAGCTCTTAGATACTTGCCAAGATTCCTAAGTGGATAAATCAGAGAGGACTGGGAAAGGCCAAGTCTTGCTGCTGGAAGGCAGAATCTTTCCAGTCTGAACCAGACAGCCTGGATTTGGCACCATGCTGGTGAATTGTTTTAACTTGACCTCGAGCTCCCATCTATACTTTGTTATGGTTGTATTTCAGTCAACTCACATCTCTTTGTGTTTCTAAGCACCAGATACCAATTGTCCAAAAAAAGTAGACCAGAGTCTCATTGAAATCTTTTGTCTGAGTCTTACTAGTCTTAGTACTTTCATTTATTAAAAAAAAAATATTTTTATTTACTTGACAGAGTACCAGAAACAGAGAGTGATCTTTTATGATGAGATTCCACTATGGTCTGAGTTTCTGAAATAACATGATTTTGTGGAACTTCTGATTTGTGGAAAAAAAAAAGAGAGTGATCATCTGCTGGTTTGTTCCCCAGATTTCCCACAGGACAAGAGAAAAGATTAGGCCAGGTCAAAACCAGGAGTCAGGAATTCAGTCCCTGTCTCTCCGACATGAGTAGCAGGGATCCAAGCGCTTGAACCATCATCTGCTGCCTCCCAGGGTGTGCGTTACAGGGAAATGGATTACAAGTAGAGGCAGAGAGCCCAGCACAATAGCCTAGAAGCTAATACCTCAACTTTGTATGTGCCAGGATCTCATATGGGTGCCAATTCATATCCTGGCTGCTCCCTTCCCATCCAGCTCCCTGCTTGTGGCCTGGGAAAGCAGTCGAGGACAGCCCAAACCCTTGGGATCCTGCCACCCACGTGGGAGACCTGGAGGAAGTAGCAGAGAGCTCCTGCTTGCTGGTTCAATCCCTGAATGAGACAGGAGACAGGAGCCAAAGCAATGAGGCAGAAATTCAAGCTCTGTCTTCCTCAGTCCTAGTCTCTCAATGGCAGGAACCTAGCCACTTGAGCCATCGCGGTTGCCTTCCTAGACACAGAGCAGCAGAAGGCTAGAGTCGGGAACCAGAGCCAGAGATACTCGAGTGTGGGACCTGGGCTTCTAGCCAGCATCCTGACTGCTAGACCGAACACCCAGCCCTGAAATACTTTCTATCATGCCCTAAAACTGACTGTAGCTTGATGCAACAAATCTGGTTTTCTATAAAACTATAACACCAGTCAATACATTAAACCAGCAGTTATCAATAGGTTACTCTGTCAGATTCCATTCTAAGTCCCATACAATATAACTTTTTTTTGAAACATCCAGCATTTTACTTTTTGCAGAAGAAGCGGTATAAGGGGTTAGGTGTTCAGGCGCAGCAGGTGAACTGCTCTCGATGACTCTGACAGTGTCAGAGAGAGTGGTTCAAGTCCTGGTTACTCCACTTATCCCGCTTTGTGCTAATGCATGCTGGGAGGCAGCAGGTGATGGTTTGAGTAGTTAGGTTCCAACAAGAATTCCCAAGGTAGAGTTCTAGCGTCCTACGTCAGCCCTGGCGAAGGCAAGGGCTTTGAAGAGCGAACCACACACAGGTTGGAAGATCTTTTTCTCCTTCTGTATCTCTGTGCTCTACCTTTCAAATAAATAAAGCAACATTTTTTAAAATGAGAAGTTAATTATAGTTAAGAATAAACTAGTCATGTAAAAGCTCAATTCACAACGTGGATATGCTTATGTAAAATTGCTAATGATGATATTACACTCATTACTTTGCTATATAAATAATGTATATTTAGGTATATTAGAACATGATATCCACATCTGCCTTAAGTGATCCCAGTTGCTGGGAGGCCTGTACTAAGTTTATTGGCCAAAGATGACAAGCATGCCTGAGTCTCTTGCTCCCTGTTTCAGGTCCTTGGGTCATACCATTTCTAGAGAAACCCAAAACCTGCAAGTGCCTTACTTTGTGGATAAGAACTTTGACAAGGCCTACAGAGGAGCTTCTCTGCGAGACCTGGAGAAGACAATAGAGAAAGATTACATCGATTACATCCAGACGAACTGCTGGAAGGAGAAACAACAAAGTAAGATGCTGGTGAAGGGCCTTTGCGGGCAGCTGGGAGTCCCAATCTGAGGGGTCACCAGCTTCCTGACCCCATTCTGGTTTCAATTTGTGTTAACACAGAGAGAGGACAGGGGCCCGTTCAGATACCACAAACGAGGTTGGGGGAGGGAAACTCTTGACAGGAGACAGGTGGCTAGGCCATGGGAATCTTGGCAAGTCTGGCAGCTCTCATTACCTGTCTGTATCTCTCCTTGGGAATGTACCTCTCTGCCCACCTGCTGCCCTCTGCTCTCTCACCCTATACCAGTCTTTTATGGCTTTCTCAAATCACCCTTCTTCATATAACCCTTTTTGCCATGGCATATTATGGTTGCTACCCTCCTTGTTGCCTGTTTCTTCATTCAGACCAAAGGTTTAGAAACTGCTGGTGTTGAGTCAGGTGACCCCCTCCTCACCTCCAGTTGACTGTGGCCACACACAACCAAAATGACCCCAGGTGCTGCCCCCTCACTCCGGATGTGAGCAGGCCTTCCACTCCGCAACCTCTGGGGAGACAGGGGGATGGCAGTATTTGTCACTTGGCTTACAGCTCTGGTTGTCACTAGGGAGTGCTGGCAGGAGGGGCAGCCTTGGCTCTTAGCCAACAGCTTCACTTTTTGTCTCTCTTGAATTATGCACAGATACCCACACACAGAAACACAAGTAATAACTACATCTTGTAAAACACCGATTTGTCAAACTTTTAAGAAAACATAAGCTCCAATTCATCTTTTAAAACCTACTACTGGGTATCACTTAACATCTCACAACAGCTGATAAAATTAGCTCTGTGGTCACAGTGCTGCTAAGTCCTCCCTGACCCTTCGTGTACTCCCACCCCCACCCCCAAGTTAATCTCCTGCCCCTGTACACTTAAAGCACTTTGTTCACTTTGCAAATATAGTTCTGAGCCCACAGTAGCAGTAGTAGGTGCGTCAGTCTCCCCTGGGAGACTGCGATCTCTTTGAGGACAAGACCATGGTTTACTAACTTAGTGTCCCAGGCTCTTGGCACAGTCCTTGCTTCAGAACAGGTGCTGCACAGATATCTTTGGAGAAGAGAGGATTCTCAGATCGGGAAAACAATGAAAGGCTGAGGGCTGTGAATGACACAGCAGGGCTGCTGCTCTAACCCCAAGCAGCAGGGACCTTGTCCCTGCCTTATTCCTATAGCACAGGAATGGTATATTAGGGTTTGATGGGCTATGACTCTGGCATAGAAGAAGAAATTAAACAGGAAGAGATTTTTTTTCTTTTAAATTAAAAAAAGGAAAGAAATAAAGAAAGGGGGGTCAGGTTGTACCCTACCCCTTTGTTAAACTAAGTTTCATGAGGTTTAAAAATCAGGGGAGAATTCAGCACAAGCTAAAGGCCTGACGCCAAAAGGACAGGGATACATGGCTCCAAACCAGGGGAGTACTACCAGGTTTGTTCCAGGGCTCCCTCAAAGTTCTGAGCCCTGGGAGGGTTTGGACTTTGTTGCTTCTGCAAGAACTGGACGAAAATCTGTATTTCACATTCTTCAAACACATTCCCCATGGCCCCACAGCCTACATCCTCCTCTGTGGCGTAAGAGGCTAGAACATTTTTTAAAAAAGAGGTCATGGTGAGACCTGCACTGAAGGTGGCTTTGAAGCTTGAGTTTCCATCCCAGGAGGCCTGGTTTCCCAGCTAGCACTCCAGCTACAAATCAAAATCCAGTAAAAAGGAAAAAAAAAAAAAAAATCCGGTGAGTCAGCATGATTTTGCTAACGGACAACTTCAAAACAGGGGTTATCTGCACACACCCCTTACAACGTCTATTTCTGGCATCTCAGGACAGTGGCTGTGTGGAGCCTTCACACAGCCCAAATGCCATTTGAGAACAAGCAGCATCTGCCCTCCAAATCCAGCAGCAAGTGCAGCCAACAAGGTTAAATTTAGCACTTGAAAGCTGTAAAAATAAACCACTTGAGAACCAAGTTCACTCTTGGCAAAATACCAAATGGAAACTGTTGGTATCAAAGTTAGCCATTGTCTCTTAAGATCTTTTATTTCTTTGCTCTTAAAATGATTAATCGGAGTGAATTTTTCTGTGTAACAACTCACTGAGAACACTAATCACCCTGTTTGCCTCTTCATAGCTGCATCTGAATAGTAAACCTGATGCCAGGAAAGAGGCCAGGCCACACTGGCTATGGCCGGACAAAAATCATAGGCAGCAGCTGCCTCCCGGCCCAGTAAAACTGAGCCCTGGCCCTCCCTTCCCTCCCTGCCCTTCCTACTCTCCCAGCCGAGGAGCACTTATCTGCATGCCCTTCAGTGGTGAGGTGCAGCCGAGCGGGTAGCAGCTGCAGCTTCGGCTTCAATGTAGGGACAGAGACAGGATGCGCGTGCCACTGAGCACAGTGTCTGGCACGGTCAACACTGACTCCTGATGCAGGCCAGGCTTTGCTTGGCTTTGCACTGGGGACCATGTGCACAACCATGTCCCGCAGCTGGGTCATGAGGAGAGCTGGGATGTGTTGGGATCTTCCAGCTGTCAAGATTCCAATCTGGGATTCTGGGGAGAAGCTCTGGATCCTGCTTCTTTTGGCAACTGTAGTGTATCTCCAGGGTTCATTGTCCTGCGATTTGTTACACTGGCTTTCAGGGCAAGGGGAACATTTTGCCAAGAAGAAAAGGTGTCCTCTTGGCCCTGCCTTCCCACCAAAGATTTATTTTAGTTACTTAGTAATTCTTGACTACTAACAGGATTTGTCTTCTTTGAGTTGCCCCTTAAAGAAGTTGTTCCCATTACAGGCCAATTTGGAGCGAAGCCTCTCCAAAGGTGAAGGTGGAGGTGGCAGTGTGGACATGGGGTCTGAAGTACTGACCTTGTGCAGAGTCCTTGCTCAGATCAGAGGTCCCCGGCCTGGCTTCAACTAGCCTTATGGACAACAGTGTGTCATTCTGGGAGACGCCTTCCTGCTTGGGCAGTTCTTTTCCACCTGCTTGGTGCATGGTCTGCCATGGAGAAACAGGGAACATCACCAATCCTTATTTTTTGGAAGACAGTTTCAGGAACTGAGGCAGTTAGAACTGGTTGGTGAACAGAAAAACTACCAAAATCACTTCGAGGAAGAGCAAAGCCTCAGAACCTGTCCTGTCTACGGGTGCACCTCTGACCTCAGAGGACTGAAGTGTAGAGGGGTCTCACGGAGGCCTCTTAATGAGTTGTCCACATGCTGATGAAGCTGGGGAAGTAGGGTTCGTGTCCAGCCCTGAGCAGGACATGGGAGCAGAGAGGTATCATGGGAAGATTACGGAGCCCTATGATCTGCAAGGGTGGTTGTGCCAAGGCAAGTTCTCACAGGCAGGCACTGCAGGTTCCTTGCCGGGAGTGGAGGGCATTGTTCTGGGGCTGGGGAGGCCTGCTGCTTGCCAAGCAACCACTGGGCAAGTGCTCAGCCTTTGTAGCCCATTGTAGAGGAAGAGTTGCCATGCACAATCCCTGCTCCTGAAGGCCCACACTTGCACTGCACTCTGGGCCTTGCTGGGTGTAAACACAGAAGCATTGTGATCAGAAAGGCCAGACAATATTCTGTGTTAACAAAGCAATGACTGTTGTTCCTCCAGGCTAATTATTAATTCCTGCTCCCAGCTAGTTTGCTGACTTATCCAACAGGTTCCTCTTCTTCCACCAGGAAAAGCGAAATCTGTCAGCAAGGTGATTAGGAATGAATGGGCATATTTCTTTTCTTTTTTTTTTTTTTTCATTTTTCTTTGATAGGCATATTTCAAAATGATGAACACAGCATGCGCACAGGGCCGCTCCTATACACACAGCGTAGCTCCGTGCTGTTCAGGACCTCAGGAAGTCCCCAGCCATCGAGCAGCCATCCTGCTGACTGGCAATGTGCTTCTGCAGGTGCTTTTAGATGTTCCTTCCAGAGAGTGTTTTGAAACCTTACAAAATGGTGGAAAATATAGGCAGCCAAAACATCACTGAGTCAGGAAATGCAGTCGAGGTGACAGAGTATGCTGATACCACCTTTTCTGCCATGAAGAAAAAATGAAATTAATTTAGTAAAAGAGTTAAAGGTCATCAGATCCAACTCATTTCACTTGTGAAAGAGCCCCGCTGCCTCTGGCCTTTGAGCTGGGGACCCCACAGGCACTGGGGACAGAAAGGAAGCCACCAGCACCCTAGGCCTGAGTGGAAGCCCAGCCACCGCGCTGGGCCAAGTGTCCCTAAGCCTGTATGAGCTGTGAGCCAGCAATGCAGGGGACAGATGAAGCAGCTGTCTTTGTTTCAGGTGACAGGAAGGGGTGATTGGCCTCCATTCCTTCACCCCACTGCTGTCTGGAGACTGTCAGGAGGAAGGCTGTGAAACCGTCTCTGCTTACTGCACACATGCGGCTTTCCTAAGTCAGCTGCCAAATGCTTGATTAATAAGCAGTCAGTCCAGTGTGTCGATAATAGAGCATGGGTACTGGTGACGGCAGGATCACAGGTGGCCCTTAATCCTCAGCCCTGGCACAGCGCCCAATATGTGTTTCTTGAATAAATGAGTAAATGTTTCTTACGTTTAATTGAAAGAAAAAGCACTAAAGAAAGTAAAAGGAACTTTGATTCCAGAAATATTGGGATGCAACAAAGGAACTCAACTCTCCTGGTAAATTGGTTCCCCCTTTTATCTTTCAGAGTCGGAGCTGACAAACTTGGCAGGATTATATAGAGATGAACGTCTGAAACAAAAAGCAGAGTCACTGAAACTTGAAAACTGTGAAAAACTTTCCAAACTTATCGGCCTGCGCAGAGGGGGCTGAGACCACCATGTGCTCAGGCAGGGTTGGGGTTTTGTTACTTGTTACTATTTATGTTCCTAATGCCATTTTATAATATAAAATTAGGAAACAGTGAACAGTTTACCCTTAGCTCACTTTCTTTGTTGGGCAGGGTTGCAGGAACTTCAGCCTGGAGCCAGATTTGTTACCACAGCCCTTCCTGGCATTGGTTTTGGGCACTGGGAGCCATTTGTCCAGGTGAAGACCATAGCAAAGCACTAAATTCAGTCCCCACTCTGTGGGCCTCCCACAGCAGAGCCATCTGGTCTCCCTTACTTAGTGAGGCCTCAGTGCCCAGCTCTCCTAGGCTTGGCCCAAGCAGCCTCCTAGTAGTCACCAACACTGTCTCCCGGGCACTGTACCCATCCTTTCATCATTCTCTCCCCCCAAATCCAGCCTTCAGGGGGTGTGCAAGCTCATCCTCATTTCTCAGGTGATTTCAGCAGACTGGCAGAGCAGAGATGCCTCTGTCCACTCCCCAGCTTCACATCCTTCCTGGGACAGCCCTGTGTCCTGTAAGGAAAGGTCCCTACAGGTCTTGAGGAAGCAGCACTCTGTACACAGAAGCAGTGCTCCCTCAGAGATGGGCAGCTCCTGCTGCTGCTGCCCAGCAACAGCGCCCTGGCCGGTGGGCTGTGCGGCTCTGGGCCGAGAAGAGATAATGACCTGTTCTGTTGGAGAAAGAGTATACATGAAAATTGATTCCCAGAGTAGGTCTGACAGAAGTATTGAGCATCATTCGGACCTTGCCTGGAACCTGGGGGTTTGGAGGTACAGAGTAGGGGTGTTAGTGGCTGGGAGGGGAGCAGTTCCAGGAAAAGCCAAAGTCAGCTGTCCAATGAGGTCTAACCGCCTGGCTTTGCAGGGCCCCCTACTGCCCTCTGAGTGACAGGGAATTTTCACTTTAAGACATGTCCATGAGTCACACAGGCTCATGGCAAGCTATTTCAAATCCACAATGAATTTAAAGCTCTCCTCTCCCCAGCTACAACCTCTGCTACCGAATGGGCTGTCTTCACCCTGGAAGTTTGGGAGGACCTATTTTAGACACCCACAGATGGTCACGTAGTGACACTATATGTGTGATGACGCTAAAAAGAGGCGATCCTAGTCCCATTAAATGTCACCTATGTTGTCTGTTTTGTGACACCAGTGCTACTGTTATCTATTACCATCTGTATTAGTAAAACATACTCAAGGGAACTGTATTTGCTGTTGGTTAAAGGACAGTTTAATCTATTTGGTACTTTCCAGAATATTATTTATTAACTTCCTTGGCAATATTTTAGATGGATTGTCTCCATGGTGGTAAAATCCACTTTGCTCCCAACCTACACCCTGGGAGAGTAGATAAACTCTGGGGAGGACTTTTTCTTGCTGTTTGCACTTGGCCATAGCTCTAGACTGTTGCTTTGAGCAGGGTTATAGTTTGGAGTTCTGTGATGGGAGCAGACTAAGAAACAGGGCTGGGCCTGGCGCGGTGGCGCAAGTGGTTAAGTCCTCGCCTTGCACGCCCGGGATCCCATATGGGCGCCGGTTCTAATCCCGGCAGCCCCGCTTCCCTTCCAGCTCCCTGCCTGTGGCCTGGGAAAGCAGTCGAGGACGGCCCAAAGCTTTGGGAACCTGCACCCGCGTGGGAGACCCGGAAGAGGCTCCTGGCTTCGGCTCGGCATAGTATCGGCCCGTTGCGCTCACTTGGGGAGTGAATCATCGGACAGAAGATCTTCCTCTCTGTCTCTCCTCTCTGTATATCCGCCTTTCCAATGAAAAAATAATAAAAATAAATCTTTAAAAAAAAAAAAAAAAAAAAAAAAAAAAAAAGGGCTTGTGGCCCAAGTGGAACCTGTAACCTTCATGCCCATACAGGTGTTCTGTGCACCACCTGAGCACCTGGGAGGAGGGCTAGATGGAGTCCTCCCGTTGCAGAGAACTCTGCTGGGTGGAGAACCGTGTCCCCAGGTTGGCAACTTTGCAACTCCTCTGCTGAAGCCGGGAGACGTCCAGGACTTCTTGATCAGTTCCAACCTCATGGCGTGGCAGAAGTGACCAGTAAGGGAATGTCACTGCCCTGCTTCCTACTGGAGATTTAAGAATGATGGCAAACATCGTATGCGTTGGATGACAGGATGCAGCAGCCTCGCCATGCTGCGTGCTGCTTTCATCTTCCTCTTCACACTCAGAAATGGTTCTGTGAGGAGGTGCTGCTGGGATTCAGCAGCTTTCTGCCATACCTGGCTGCATGTGCCAGCTCCTTGTCTGCATGCACTTCTCACAGGAGACAGCACTTCCTTTGTATTCATTTTGGACTCACTTAAGGTGTGAGCTTAAGGTCCTGATATATTTATTTTTGGAAAGGGCCAAGTCATGGCACATCTTATTATTATTTTTTTTTTTGAGCCTGCTGATTCCTGTGCAGTGACCACTAAGGAACTGTATACCCACATGCCAGGTGTGTGTTTCATTATTTGCATCACATTCAGTGTTAGAAATTATAGATGTGAATATTGTGTCACCAGAGTCAGGTATGACACTGATGATGGCATAAAAATCCTGAAAAATCTTGTTCCCTGAACCCACTGTATATGATTGAGTTTGTTTTAACAAAAAGCATTAAATGATTTTATTAAAAAAAAATACAGATTTTCTGTTTCCCTTTGTTCTTTCACGTTTGGGTGTGGTTTCCTTGGATACTACACTTGTACTTGAATCTCTTGAAATCATATCATTCTAGCAAAACTATTGAACTCAACTGTGCTCTCCCATCATCCATCGTGGAGTTATTTGTGTTTAGAATAATTTGTTTTTGTGGACAGCAAAAGTGGTGCTGTGAGTTCCATATTTTCTATCAGGTAACCACAGCTGCACACATTGCATCACAGCCCATCCACGGATCCAGCCTGCCCTTAGCATCAGAAAAGCAGGTGTCATCTCATGACTTTAAAATATAATGCATGGGTCCATGTATTGCAGGAGCCCAACTGGTCAGGATATCTTTTATTTTGTTTAAAAAAAAAAAGTAGTATGAGATTGCATTTACCAAGTATTGATAATTTGAGATGTGCATGTGGATCGAGTTTTTGGGAAAGGGGCCATGGAACAGATGAGACCCAGCCCCAAGACTAGTGGAATAGACAGCTAGTGGGGAAGCCAGGCTTCAGACAGTGCCCTCAGTGGAATGAATGTCACAGGTGAGACCAGGGCACCATGGGAGTCTGGTAAGGGATCAAACTAAGAGGGGTCAGTGAAAGCAATTCTGAAGGAGTCTTGACATACCATCACTCTTCCTAAGGAAATGACTGGTGTTTTTTGTTTTGATTGTTATTGTTTTTTAAGGGAGGAACATATAAGCAACACTCTTGTAGCATCCCCATTTCCATGAACAGCACTATCACCTGTCCAAGTGCACAGACAAACCCAGGAGACTGAAATTTGTGTCCCCTAATGGACCACATCTACTATTTGTAGCCTTGTACAGACAGACCCCTTTCCAGTCTGGGGTAGCCTTTGATATCCTTCAATATCAAATGGGAATGTGACCAAACTAGCAGCTTCTGTGTTTGCACTTGAGGGAAAGCCAGCTGCGGTGTAAGTCCAAGTCGCCCTGAGAGCACATGCTAACTGCATGCAGCAGTCAGTAGAAGCCACACAACAGGATCAAGCAATTGAGCTGATGCCACGCAGGGAGGACCCACATATAAGAATTGCAATAGATGGGCAGAGCAGAAAGGAGCTGCCATATCATGTTCTGCTTAGATGGCAGAATTGTGAACAAACCATTGCTGCTTTAAGCTGCTATGCTTTGTGTTGGTTTACAGCCATAGACCACTATGCCACTTCGGTGGCCTTTCCCCGTATCTCCTCCATCAGCAAGTCCTGCCAACTATGCTTCCAGAACATCCTTCCTACACTCCTCCTCCTCTGACACCATCCCCGAATCTCAAGCCACCGCTTCCACTGCAGTGGTCTCCTCGATACTGGTCTCTCTGGGTTCCATGGGGCTCCCTCCAAGCCATATGCCTTGCTGAGACTAGAAAGATCATCTCAAAGTCTAAGTTGGGTCCTGTAACTCCATTAAAACACAGAAGCTTGCTTTTGTCATCAGAATAAAAATCACCAAAGTCATTAGCAACACAAGTCCTGGCCTCAGCCTGCTGCTCTATACATTTTTTTCTATTCTGCTCTTAGGCATTCTGTACATGTTGTTTCCTCTCTCGAACCTTATTCCAAAGCTAACATTGTAGAAAAGTGGGCTAAACTGCTGTATCAGAGTGCTAGGTCTCACTTTGGATCCAGCTCCCTGCTGATATCCTGGGAAGGCAGCAGAAGATGGCCCAAGTATCTGGACCCATGCCACCTACATGGGAGACCCAGATGAAATTCTGGGGCAGTGACCTGGCCCACACCTTTGTGACCGTATCAGGAGTAAACCAGCAGTTAGAAGATTTCTCTGGGTGTATCTCTTTCTCTCTAACTCTGCCTTTCAAATTTTTAAAAATTGGCCTGGCGCAGTAGCCTAGCAGCTAAAGTCTTTACATGTGTGGGGATACCACATGGATGCCAGTTCATGTCCTGCTGGCCTCGCTTCCCATCCAACTTCCTGTTTGTGGCCTGGAAAAGCAGTTGAGTACTGCCCAAAGACTTGGGACCCTGTACCCGTGCAGGAAACCCAGAAGAAGCTCCAGGGTTCTGGTTTTGGATTAGCTCAGCTCTGGCCATTGTGGCCACTTGGGGAGTGAATCAATGGGCAGAAGATCTTCTTCTCTGTTTCTACTCCTCTCTGTATATCTTTCCAATAAAAATAAATAAATATTTTTTAAAAATTAATCAGGGCCTGGTGCAGTGGCCTAGCAGCTAAAGTTCTTGACTTGAACATGCCGGGATCCCATGTGGGTGCCAGTTCTAATCCTGGCAGCCCTGTTTTCCATCCAGCTCCCTGCTTGTGGCCTGGGAAAGACGATGAGGAAGGCCCAAAGGCTTGAGATCCTGCACCCACATAGGAGACCTGTAGGAAGTTCCTGGCTCCTGGCTCCTGGCTTTGGATCAGTGCAGCTCAGGGCATTGTGACCACTTGGGAAGTGAATCATTGGATGGGAAATCTTCCTCTCTATCTCTCCTTCTCTGTGTATATCTGACTTTGCAATAAAAATAAATATTATAAAGAATTTACTCAGATTTTTAGAAAGGTTTTTTAAATTTCTCAGCAAAAATAAGTGTTTAAAAAAAAAGCCTTGTCCCACGCA